CCCGATTCGCCACTGATGGGTAAACCACTTACCAGAGTTGACGATGATCTTCTGTTCATGCTCGGTGAAGTAGCCCTTGGGGTTCCACCAACTCTTCGTTCTAGCTGGTGACTGCGGCATCAGGAAGAAGGATGCGACGCCGATCAGGACTGTGACTCCGTTAGCAGAGCGACTTTCATGAACGAGATATCAACTTACAAGTGAACGCTCCTTCAATGAGGAAGAGCCATCTCCAACCTTCATATCCAAGCATTCCACGCATGGAGAGCATACCGACAGCGGCAAATCCAACTCCGATATCGACTGTGACTTGTCAGCTTGTGCAGTTTCGAGCACAGAGTATTTGCCTACCGAGCTGCGAAGACATCCAGAACCAAGCCAGTCGTATTGGGAGCTACTAAAGTCAGTAAGCCTTCTCGTTGTCCCATCGTATCTAGACGTACTCTTGTGCCAGTATACCAGTAGCTAAGGTATAGAATCGTATCGCTGTTCCTCGTTAGGGATGTCTCAGGGTATGACAGCAAGGAGACCTACGGGATAAAGCCGCCTTGGAACGTTGCACTAGTAACATTAGCAAGAGCCTAGGTTGCTTCTTCTCAGAGAACTCACATGAGGTATCTTGTGGCAAGGAATGATGCGCGGCCCTTCAGGAAGAACTGCATCGCTGAGATAAGACTAAAGATACAAAGCTGGATAGGAATCCACATGTCGGGTCCAATTCTACAGCAAGGTTAGTATCAAGACAAACGAGAGCTTTCTACTCAACTTACCGCTTGGAGATAAGCTGCGAAGGCAACTCAGCAACAAGGAAGCCAACTCGAGAAATAGTTTGTCCAATATTCTGCCTCCGTCAGTATTGCGTCTCCAATCTGTGGAAAGGAACTCACGTAGTCGGCGTGCGTAATGCCCAAATCATCAAGCATATTGTCTGATACAGCGTTCTGGATGTTGTTCCTGTCGATGTTCAATGCTGCAAACATGATGCACATCCAAACCTACAAAGGTTAGTTCTATACACCTATGAAGCTGGCTCTTCTCGTACCATGATCTTCCAGTCAACCTTGTGACGAACGGAATTCTCTTCACGCCATGTCCAACGGAAGTTGGGATCAAAGGCCGACCAGTTCTCCCACTGCGGGTGGATATACAGTTCTTTGTATCGTTCGATATCGGGCGAGTCCCAGATACTCGGCTGCGTCGCGACCTTGATTCGAGTTAGTCTCCCACTCCTTATAAACGATTATCACTCTCGCCCGTACCGCATCAAGATCGTAGGTATCGTTCCTTCGAGGCTTTCTTATCCGCAGAAATCGTAGGATCGCATCTCCCATCGCCGCTTCCATGCGCTGCCCTTGCTGAGCAGCCAGGGCTGGTGCGGTTGGGGGCACGGAGTCGCTTGGATATCCATCATTTTCGGCCTTGCTTTTCCCTTTGAGACTTCCGTTATCAGAAGGAGAGTCTGATACTCCGGACGACGAGACGACGGTAGGCTGATGATGCGACATAGTGCAATCTTTGGCTTGACCGAATCGATAGTACAGGGCGTACGAACACTACAAAATGCGATAAAACGGCCACATCACTGCTACTTAAACAATTACCAACTCTCAAATTAACCCTGCCAGATATGAGCCCCAAATAATAAATTGGGGGTCAGCCATTGCGAGATCAACGTGCACCATCGCTTCGATAACCAAGTGGTTCTATGCGAGTAATATCAATGGAAAAACTACCTACAACCGTCAATAGGAGACATGCTTCCGACGAAAAGTGGTCGATCCTCCGAGGAAATGCAGGAATTTTAAAGAAGTGTTACATCAGGGCCCATCGACCTTGGCCTTGTTGCTTGCGACATCGATTAGCAATATGCGGATCCGATGTCGTGATCGTTTCGGAAAAGTCATCGCGACAACTACGGGGCAAGCTTGGCTTAAGCTTAGAAACAAGTTTATATAAGATAAGTATAATTGAATATCATTAAATACAGCAAACGAACGATGAGTCTGCCGATTACTCAATCTTTTAGTCCATACCAGTGTCCAGATCTTGCTTGCCCATATTGCTCTTCTGTAGAGTAAGTCAACAGGCCAATGAGACCTGAAGCAAGATTCACCATCGGCCAACTTTTATGGACTATCACACCAGTATCTTCAGGGATTGAAGTTTGCCGACTTATCGGCAAAGCCTGGTGCGAACAAAGAAAGATAGGCTGGACTGGACAAAGCCCGGTGATGTCTTCATCACCCAGTAGTGTTTTCAGGAGACAAGAAAACATCAGACCTTAATATAAGGTGTCATAAAACTTAGAAAAGGGTATAAGAAGTCTACTCTAAGCCTATCATAAACTTATGCTAAGTTACCCAAGCCTTTTTGTCACCTAGGCTCAAGGTCGTTAGTTTTCTTCCCCTGCCTTAACGGTCTGGACAACATAGCTTATTCTTTCGATTAAGTATTTGATGCCTAGTCATTATCTATACATTACTTTCGCTCATTCTTGCCACCCTCACCCTCCTGCTTATTCCACCCCGGAATCAGTTCATTGTCAGCCTCTCCCTCATCATCGCTTGCATCCCTATTCTTCCTTACTCTCCTCGCCGCTCGTCGTCCTACCACCGGAAGCTTCTCAACACCAAGATCTTTCGCCGACTGCGGCAGGAGCTTGGGATCAAGAAGGCCTGCTTGGACTAACACGCTAGCTTGATCCCAATAGACATGCTCTTGATACAGTCTTCCACCTCTGACTGCAACAATGCTCACCATGAGAATCTCAATCTTCTTGTTTGTTGGTGGAACTCCAGGGAGCATCCACTGGACTTGCTCGGTATGCTTGAAGTGGACGTGCATTTCGTCAACAACGCGATCAACGCCGATGGTGCGCGATAAGAGTGTGATCTTTAGCGAGGATGGAGTTGTGAATGATTCTGAATAGAAGCGCTTCAGTTCAGCGGCGCCAGTTGCACCGGTTAGAGTCGGCATGTAAGTGACATGAGGGGTCTTGTGCGTGGTGAAGGTCGACAATGCTTGACCGAGGTTTTTCGAGAAGAATTTGCCTGCCGAAAATCAGTCCTGCTCAATAATGTCCCGTCGCGAAGTGTTAGAGACTTACTCTGCAGGTTATGTTCCAGAACAAGCTCTAGATCCGGGTTGATACCAAACACCTTCCTAGCTGCAGCCAAGCTTCGACTCCAGGCCAGTTCCGCAGAAACACCATCATACTCATCCAGATCGTGTTCAGCAAAGCCAGGCTCAGCTTCATATGTGTAACTGGGATATGCAAGGTCAAGTTTTCCGCCAGTACCCATGCCGCTCTGAATCTTGGTGCGTCTCACGCGTTTCTTGCCTTGGATGCCAACCATTTGAGATTGCTTGACAACACCGACTTCTTCACCTGCTGCTAGATGAACAAGGGCGCTAATACTGCTGGGGAATCTTCCATTGGTATCTGGGATGCGAGTTGGGTAATAAGCAATGAGAAGGCCGAGCTTGAACTCTGGGTTGTTATCGAGAATGTGAAAGTGCTCGAGACAAACAGCTGCAGCGTCATCGTAGGCTTTTACCTGTCAATATTGATTCGATTTTCCCAGGAACGTATTAACTTACCAACAATTCCAAACTTCTCACAAGGGCCCAAGTTTTCCCTGCTCAACGACTTGATCTTCTTCAAATACCCATCACCGCAGCTCTCCATTGAGATGTACTCAACATCAAAACCCTCATCTCTCCACTCAGCAAGAGTGACCTCGTCAAAGTCATCATTTTCACCGGTTATGTAGAGTTTTGGAGGGTTACGCGGGAAATCGCCCGAGAGAAAGTTCTGGTCTCTGTGATTGGTCCTGTTGTCTGAGAGGATCTGGACGTTGCGCCCTTCAGCCTCTGGAACGGCGGATTTGATCAGATTTGGAATGTTGATGTTCATATTGACAATCATTCAATATTATGATTTACAGAGTCTGAGAGGTTAGAGGATGAGAATAACCTGATATATTCTTGTCCACTTCCAACTTCCAAGTTTCAGATCAATCGGTTGACCCTGTTTGAGCGTGATGATGATGTCAGAACAGTACGTGTTGAGGCTGACTCATCGGATACTGTGATCTGATTTGGTCATGCCGAAATCTTGACTACCCTGCAGTTCTTGATCTTTCGGTGCTTTTCCAACGTTCGAACATTGAAAAGAATTGTACTAGTGATGAGGCAGCTCGAGTTCTCGTCTGAATTTGATATACTTTCCTATTATACCAGGATCCAAGGACGACTATATGCGATCCAACATTCATTCGTGTTGTTGGCATCCTCCCTAGCCTCGTAGTTGCTCCAAAATTCAGAGCGCTGTGCTAGTCACGCTAGATCTCGACATTGTCTTTCTTATGTCTCTGAATAATGGAGCACGAGGCCAGATTGAAACCGCTAGCTTCTGGGGTAAACTGATCATGCTTATTGTTGATAAAAAGTCTGACAGTGCCAGCACGATCCGGATAAAACCACCAGTGCTTACAATAGCCTCAACACAATATATATACCCTATGACTGTCTGGGTGAGACATTCCAAGATCACTATCGAGAAGTCATACTGGTAATTCAAGTTTCAGCTGACTACCACTCATTTATCCTTCTGGAGTCCAGCCCTAACAGTTATGCATAAAAGCTTTGCCCAGATCGGACTACTTGCAGGAGATTGTGACCAAAATGAAGCTATTCATGAGGGAGATGACCAAATCAAGAGTCGTGCTTAGCAACCGTTGTTCAAAAAACGTTAGAAATGATCGGGTCTTTATGCATTGCTTATCTTCTGACTGGCGAATGCGGAGGTTAGTGCGAGTGCGAATGCGACGCTGCAAATAACGTAATACTTCAATGCAGCCGGATTACATGGTGTGATACCCAGAAAAACATTGACAAGTTGCTTTCACATTACTTAAGATGCTCTGTAAACCCACAAAGCTCGGAAATGACGTTCAGAAATGGTTGAGAGGCCCCGAGCGATTATGGGTGACACCAGGATGGATCTCGAAGAGCCAAGGTCAGTATAACTCAACATGCGAGAAGATACAGACTCCTGACTACAGCATAGACACGAAGGTGACACTAAACCTCCGGTCAACGCTTTCGTAGAGGCTGGAAACAAGGAGAAGTCGAGTCCGCCGGCGGATCTCGAGGCAAGTGTCCGTCGAGACGATACTGTTGAGGGAGAATCAGTACAGGAGGAGGATACTTATCTTCATGGATTACCCTTAGTACTGATGACACTTTCACTGATGGTTGGCGTATTGATGATCGCTCTGGATAATAGCATCATTGGCAAGAATTAATCTCCGTTCCTCGGACTCCTGCTGACTGCCTGAAGCTACTGCTATCCCAAAGATTACGAGCAAGTTCGATAGCCTTGGTGACGTTGGTAAGTTAGACCCATCCATCCAAGCTGGTTCACCTAATGATAGTCTTTCGGTAGCATGGTATGCATCGGCCTATCTCCTCACCCAAATGTCTTTCCAGCCAACTTTCGGCAAGATCTATACCTTCTTCAACCTAAAATGGGTATACTTGATCTCTTCAATCATCTTCGAAGGGGGCTCTATTCTTTGTGCTGCAGCACCGAGTTCAGCAGCCTTCATAATCGGTAGAGCCATTGCTGGACTCGGTGCAGCGGGTATCTTCTGCGGCGCCATGATCATCATTTCCAAGATTGTGGAGATGAGGAAAAGACCGTTACTGCTGGTCATAATCTCCAGCATGTATGGCATAGCGTCTGTCATCGGTCCCTCACTTGGTGGCGTATTCACTCACTCTAAGCAACTTACTTGGAGATTCTGTTTCTGGATCAACTTGCGTGGGTTCCCCCTCCAACACATCTATCCCCGTGCTCATTAATGGTGAAGCTCTGGGTGCTGTAATGGCTCTCATAATCTGTTTTTACTATCCCCTCTCACTCGGTGAAGCTCCAGATAGCGACCATTCCCTCAAGGAAAAGATACTTGGCCTCGGCCTCAAAAGCGCAGTGGTCCTTGCAGGAGCTCTTGTATGTCTCTTTCTTGCTCTTCAATGGGGAGGCACCAAACATACTTGGTCCGATTCACGCGTATGGGGCTGCTTGGTTGGCTCTGGTCTTCTTCTGATACTTTTCGTCTATATACAAATCCGCCAAGGAGAGGCGTAAGTCCGCTTCTCGTCTCAGGCGCCCTTCTTGTCTGACGTCGTTGTCGCTGACTCATTAGTGCATTGATCCGCCCTCGCATCATCTCACAGAGATCCGTCTTCCTTGGATGCCTGTTCTCTGCACTGTACCAGGGAGCTATGACCACGCAGAGTTACCATCTGCCGTTCTATTTCCAGGCCGTCAAGGGAGTGGACCCCCAAGCATCTGGTGTTGACATTCTTCCCCACGGGGTTACCGTCACAGTAGCTACTCTTATTACCGGCTCTATTATCACTTGGCTGGGGTACTACGTGCCGTTCATGTGGGCCGGCTCAGCCATCTTCACAACTGGTGCAGGTCTGCTGTACACGATCTCACAGAACACCCCAACGGCGAGATGGTTCGGCTACGAAATTCTAGCCGGAGCTGGATTTGGTATAGCGATCCAGATCCCAATCTTTGCCGTACAGGTCGTATTGGGAGCGGGTGACATTCCCCTGGGAACAGTGCTGATCATCCTATCCCAAGCCCTGGGAGGTTCAGTGGGTCTGTCCATCTCCCAAAACGTTTTCCAGAACTCTCTCCGCCAGAGGCTAAAGACAATAGCCGGCATTGACTTACAAGCCGTTATCGCTGAAGGTGGGACTGGTTTGGAACATGTCGTGTCGGCTGACTCCCTTGCCTACGTCAGAGATGCGTTCAGGTATGCTATCTCAAATGCCTTGCTTGTATCGACGGCACTTGGCGGCGTCGCCTTTTTGGCAAGTATCGGAATGGAGAGAAGGAGAATCAAGTCAAAGAAGGAAGGAGGTGAATGAATGGCCTCGTGGTCGACCCTTGAAGGCGATGAAGTGGGTGTATAGCGACGGCTATATAGCCGAGCGGGGAAGGATAGTGTGAGGCCGATATCAACTATGATGCATAGATAGCACGCATCTCGAGCCTATCTTGATTGAATCACATGTTTATTCGGCATTTCTATTGAGACAATAGCATTGTTTCGTTTCTTTCACCGTTTTCGGTAGAGAATTAATTCAGCTGATCTTCATCTCCCCCTGTTGCATCGTTCGGATGATATACCCTTTTTGCTATATCAACTCCGTAGAGTGACATTTCCGCGGATCTGATTGGGCAATTGACAACTAAAATCAAGGTTTCGTTCAGAATTCCATGCGCTCTTCACGGCACTGTCACACATGACCTTATAACTCGGAGATAGTGTACGAATTGGATGCTAGATTCGGTGAGATAAGGTTTATCATACTATACTGGTTACTAGTCGACTTGTATAGTATAAGACCGCACGGCCTTTCGATGTTTCTATCTTCTCTAGTCGAGGCTCAATTGATACCAAAATGACTCTCGCTAAGGTTGCTTTCACCCTGGCCAACTTAGTGGCCGTGGGTTCAACTGCGAAGAACGTGGCGGATGGGTTTGTTGCTGCGCCATACTATCCCGCTCCTTATGGAGGATGGGATGAAGGTTGGGCAGATAGCTATGCCAGAGCTAAGAAGATGGTTGACTCTATGACGTTAGCTGAAAAGACCAACATTACAGCCGGCACCGGTCTCTTCATGGGTAAGAATCATCCCAAGAGAAGCGGAACTCCTGTTAACAGCTACTAGGGTACGCTACTTTATCTTTCACATGACTACGGATACTGATAACACAGACCTTGCAATGGTAACACCGGATCAGCTCATCGCGTTGGCTTCCCTCAACTTTGTCTCAACGACGCCGCAAATGGTGTTCGACTGGCCGACAACGTAACTGCTTTCCCAGATGGAATCACAGCCGGTGCAACCTTCGACAAGAAGCTCATGTATGAACGCGGTGTAGCAATCGGAAAGGAAGCGCGCGGTAAGGGCGTAAACGTCTGGCTTGGTCCGTCCGTTGGTCCTATCGGACGTAAGCCAAAGGGCGGACGCAACTGGGAAGGCTTTGGAGCAGACCCATCGCTACAAGGTATTGGCGCACGGGAGACTATCAAGGGTGTTCAGGAGCAGGGAGTCATTGCTACGGTCAAGCATCTTATCGGGAATGAGCAGGAGATGTATCGACGACAGACAACTGATCTTGTATCTCCTGCATACTCGGCAAACATTGGTGAGATTATTCCTCGTCGTTGCCTTTGCGTGACTTACCATGATAGATGATCGAACTATGCATGAGCTGTATCTCTGGCCTTTTGCTGAGGCAGTAAAAGTTGGAGTTGGAGCGACGATGACAGCTTATAACCGAGTTAGTCTACCTACCGCTTCTTACTCACCATGGCTAATAGGTATAGGTAAACGGTACTATATCCAGCGAGCACTCATATCTCATCAACGCCTTGTTGAAAGAAGAGCTCGGCTTCCAAGGCTTCGTCATGACGGACTGGCTCTCCCAAATCACCGGTGTCCAATCAGCCATTGCAGGAATGGACATGAGTATGCCTGGTGATACCATCATCCCTCTGTTTGGAAATTCTCTATGGATGTACGAGCTAACCCGCTCGGCACTCAACGGCTCGGTTCCCATGTCCAGACTGAACGATATGGCTACTCGTATCGTGGCAACCTGGTACCAGTTTGAACAAGACAAGGACTTTCCTTCTGTCAACTTTGACACCAACACATACAACCGAGTTGGTCCTCTGTATCCAGCAGCGTGGCCTAACTCACCCTCAGGAGTCGTCAACCAGTTTGTTCAAGTTCAAGACGACCATGACGAGGTTGCTCGACAAATCGCCCAAGACGCTATCACTCTCCTCAAGAACGACGACAAACTTCTTCCACTGAGCACCAAGAGCTCAATCAAGGTCTTTGGCACTGGCGCGCAAACCAACCCTGATGGCGCAAATGCTTGTGTCGATCGAAGCTGCAACAAGGGCACGTTGGGCCAAGGTTGGGGATCGGGTACTGTCGACTATATGTATCTTGATGACCCCATCGGCGCTATCAAGAAGGAGGCTGGAGACGTAACATTCTACAACACTGACAAGTTTCCATCTGTCCCGAGCCCTTCTGATGACGATGTTGCAATTGTCTTTGTTACTTCTGACGCGGGTGAGAACCAGTACACGGTCGAGGGTAACAATGGTGATCGGAATGCCGACAAATTGAACGTTTGGCATAACGGCGATGCACTCATCAAAGCTGCCGCCGCCAAGTACAAGAATGTTGTCGTTGTCATTCACACTGTCGGGCCTGTCCTCGTCGACCAATGGATTGATCTTCCATCGGTCAAGTCTGTCTTGGTCGCTCATCTTCCGGGACAAGAGGCTGGAAAGTCTCTCACCAACATCCTGTTTGGTGACGCGTCGCCTTGCGGCCACTTACCCTATTCAATCACCAAAAAGGAGGACGACATGCCTGAAAGTGTCACCAAGCTCATTGATTCTGGCTTTATTGATGCACCGCAGGATACTTACAGTGAAGGACTATTTATCGACTACCGCTGGCTCAACAAGGAAAAGATTCAACCTCGGTATGCATTTGGCCATGGACTCAGCTACACCAACTTCACGTACACGAACGCGACCATCAAGAGAGGCACCCAGCTAACTCAGTACCCTCCCAAGCGACCCGCAAAAGGAAAGGTTCTGGACTATTCGCAAGACATTCCAGACTACAAAGAAGCGGTTAAACCCAGCAGCTTTAAAACCATCTGGCGCTACCTATACTCTTGGCTCTCCGAATCCGACGCAAAGTCTGCGGCCGCCAAAGCCGAGACATCGAAATACCCTTACCCAGACGGCTACTCCACCGCGCAGAAGACGGCTCTCCCCAAGGCGGGCGGTGTTTCAGGCGGCAACCCTGCTCTCTGGGACGAAGCTTATACTCTAAGCGTGGTGGTGACTAACGCAGGTTCCAAATTCTCCGGCAAAGCTTCTGTGCAGGCCTACGTGCAATTTCCGAGCGTTGCCGGATACGAGACACCCGTCATCCAGCTGCGCGACTTTGAGAAGACCAAGGTTTTGGAGCCCGGCTCGAGCGAGACGGTGCAATTGACCTTGACCAGGAAGGACTTGAGCGTCTGGGATGTCAAGGCTCAGGACTGGCTTGTCCTTGATGGGGAGTTTAAGATTTGGCTGGGGTCTGCGAGCGACAAGTTGGACGCTGTCTGCTTCACAGACGATTTGGGCTGCGAGCACGACGTCAAGGGACCAGTATCATACGATTCGTAGATATCCCGAGTGACATAAATCTGAGGAGGAACCGAGGTTGCAGCCGGGGATTGATTAGTCTAGCTCTGATCTGTCAAAAACGCCATGGGCGATCTTCATCTTTTGACCAGGCTGTGCTGCAGCTTAATAGGGGAAAGCTTTACGATTTGACCAATAGCGAATATTCCCTGCGCTGAGATTATGAATTGTGCATCTTCCGCCCACTTGCCGCGATATATACTTTTAATGTAAACAAACTCTGCAGAGTTTCAGGTTGGACAAGAAATCTATTTTAGTGGAATTACCCTGTCGTCATCGCTGTTGAGATAACGAAAATATGGAACTTTTTGAAACGCAGATTTCTCGCGCTTAGGTAACGGAGAGTCCACATCTTGCGAATGCCGTCTTTTCGTTGGAAGTAGATTCAGTGGGGATTGTCTCAAATCTGGCTGCTAATTTGCGGATCAAGGAGCTAAAGAGAGAGACTAAGAGCAACTTACCTGGCGATCGGGAGCAAAAGTCGAGATTGAGCCCCTGTGATCAAGACGCCACCTCCACTTGTTTATGTGATGAAATGGCCGGTAGTGCGGAATTTCTGGTAGACGGTGCGGGAATGGAAATTAAGTGGCGGCTGCCTCTCTCGTTTCTGTTTCTGAGCAGTCAAAGGACGTCAGATGTAACCTCGACCCTTGTAGCATTGTCCTCCATTCTCCCGGAATCCTTGGGCCAATCTTCCCCGCCATAACCGGCGCGTCGGGCTAACTTTTTCACTCTGTTTTTTTGGGGTGAGACAAGAAGAGGGAGGATAAATTCCGCTGACCATTCAGGCTCTCCTCGTGATGAGATCCTCGAGCTAACGAATCAACGGTCTCTTAGTGCCTCTCGTTAGGCCGATCACCAGGGCCAGGGGTAACCTTGCAGTGGGGTACGCCATTGGGACCATCTTCTCTTGGGGCGAGAACGTGCAAGTGTTTGCTTGGCCAGTCTCGTTACCCAAAATAAGCATTCTTTGCGCCACGAGCAGGGTCTATACGAACCGACTTGCATTCGATCTGCACGTCGCTTCAGTCATTGATTGATTTCATATGTAATATTGCAGCCTCAAAAGTTGGTTGCAGCAATCATCCGTAAGCACCAAAGGTTCCCCCTCACTCACTGTCACTGTCACTGCCACTGTCACTGCAGCGGTGAACTTGGAGAACAGGGGGAAAATGTATAAGCACGGCCGTTTAAATCACTCAATCAGTCAGGATCTTTGACTTTTTCCCATGCACGTGAGCTCTCTTCTCTCTGTCTCACGTCATCTATCCCGCACACGTGTATACGAACTCCTCTGGGCATCATCAGTCAGTCGCAGTCACAGTCACAGTCGCAGTCAGATCAGGGCCAGACCCAGACCCAGACCCAAGGCAGACCCGGCCCGGGCAGCCCAACCCAACACACTAACAACCAAGTACCTACCCCAACACAATAAATGACGATGTACTTACACTTGGCCTTTGTGGCTGCATCTTACTGACATCCACTGATTGGTCTCGCCGTTTCAGCTTACAGGGGGTCTTACTGCACATACGCACATTAGCCTGCCGCAAGGTCTTTTGCTGTATTCGGGGCTAACGACGGCCAATCTCGTGGTGTGAATTATCGAGATGGCAGTTCCCTCTCTGGCCTCTTGAAACTAAACTTGGTGTACAGCACACACACAGCCGAACAGTCAGTTAGTTGAGTTTGCTTCTGATCGTCCAAGCTTTCGACGCCTCAACTGAACGGGCCAATGTAACTTGGAGTTCCCGGCACCCGATGACTTTTTCCGCCTGTGCGTCTTTGTTCAGCCCGTCCCTTCATAAAATGCTCAACTCTGTTTTTTTTCTGACCCGTCCTGTCCATGTTTAGTAACGCCCGAACAGACAGAATGGGTGTGCACACTGCATCGGGCTGCATATTGTGCACGTCTACTGCATGTACCTATTTAGGGGCGTCGTAAATAAAAACGAAATCAATAAATATGCATCGTCCGTCTCCTAGCCCTTTTCTTCTCCCTCTCCAGCCCGCTCGTTCACTCACTCCCTCTCGTTTCTTCTCTCTTTTTGCCACTCTTGGTTTAGGCTTGTGACTGTCGCTTATCTCTCACCCAAGATGAAGTCTTTCTACTCCTTGGCCTTGTGCCTTGGTGCCTTCTTCAATGCAGCCACTGCCATTCCACCAGAGGAGCAGGGACAACAGCCTGGAAAGTTCGCTGCTGCTCCCCCAGTCGGTTCAAACCCCATTGACCGCAAGGGATGGACTGTCAAGTGTTCCAGCCAGGCTTCAAATTACCCCTGTGGTAGAGCCATCGATGGTGACAAGAACACCTTCTGGCAGACTCCATATGGCACAACCAACACGCCGCCTCCTCACACCATCACTATTGACATGAAGCAGACCCAGTATGTCAGTGGTCTCCAGATTACACCTCGCCAAGACGGCAACACCCGTAACTGGATTGGTCGACATGAGGTCTACCTCAGCTCTGACGGCACCAACTGGGGAAAGCCCGTTGCCTTTGGAACCTACTGGGGAGACAAGTACCCCTGGATCACAAACTTTGAGACTCAGCCTGCTCGCTATCTTCGCTTTATTGCGCTTTCTAACGTGAACTCCGACTATCCCTGGATTGCTATTGCCGACTTTCAAGTCTACAACGCTCTCAAGTACAATCCTCCTGTTAAGGGTCTTGGAAAATGGGGTCCTACTCTTGACTTCCCCGTCATTCCCGTCGCTGGTGCCGTTGAGCCTGTCTCTGGGAAGGTCGTCATCTGGTCTGCCTACCGATATGATGCTTTCCAAGGCACCACTCCCCGTGGTGGCTTCACTCTCACTTCTATCTGGGACCCCAAGACCAACGTCATCTCTAACCGCAATGTTTCCAACAACCATCACGACATGTTCTGCCCTGGTATTTCTATGGACGGTGAGGGACAGATTGTCGTCACTGGCGGCAACGATGCTAAGAAGACTACCATTCTGATGCCTGATGGTAACTGGGTTCCTGGCCCTGACATGCAGATTGCTCGTGGTTACCAATCATCTGCTACTTGCTCTGACGGCCGTGTTTTCACCATCGGTGGCTCATGGAGCGGCCCCCGTGGCGGCAAGAACGGTGAAATCTACGACCCCAAGGCCAAGACCTGGACCTCCCTTCCCAAGTGTCTCGTCGGCCCTATGCTCACCAAGGACAAGGAGGGTGTCTACAAGGCCGACAACCACGCTTGGCTCTTTGGCTGGAAGAAGAACAGTGTTTTCCAGGCTGGACCCAGCACAGCCATGAACTGGTACTACACCACTAAGGGAACTCAGGGTGACACCAAGGCTGCTGGTACTCGACGAAAGAACGGCAGAATTGACCCTGACTCCATGAACGGCAACGTTGCCATGTTCGATGCCCTCAAGGGCAAGATTCTCACCTTTGGCGGTGCTACAAGCTACCAGCAGGCTCCTGCCACTGCTAACGCTCACGTTCTCACCATTGACGAGCCCGGTGCCATCGCCCAGACTGCTCTCGTTGGAAACAACGGTGCTGGTATTCACGCCCGTGTCTTTGCTACCTCTGTCATCCTCCCTGATGGAAACGTCTTCATCACTGGTGGCCAATCTTACTCCAATCCCTTCACCGACACAAACGCTCAGCTCGAGCCCGAGATGTTCATTTCCTCCTCCAACACATTCACTAAGCAACAGTCCAACACTATTCCCCGTACGTATCACAGTATGTCTCTGCTGCTGCCAGATGCTACTGTCTTCAACGGTGGCGGTGGTCTTTGCGGTAGCTGCAAGAGCAACCACTTTGACGCTCAGATCTTCACTCCTCAGTATCTCCTCGATGGCAACGGTAACCTTGCTACCCGCCCCAAGATCACTGCTGTCTCGGCCACTACTGCCAAGGTCGGCAGCACCATCACCGTCACTGCCAACAGCGCCATCAAGAGCGCTTCTCTTATCCGATACGGAACTGCGACACATGTTGTCAACACTGATCAGCGCCGTATTCCCTTGGCCCTGACAGGTGCTGGTACCAATAAGTACTCTTTCAAGATTCCCAATGACTCTGGTATTGCCCTCCCCGGCTACTGGATGCTTTTCGTCCTCAACAACGCTGGTGTTCCCAGCGTTGCCAGCACCATTAAGGTCACTGTCTGACCTAATGTCTGCATTGCGATAAAATGATTTTTTGCGTTTATAATACTAGCGAGGATAGTACAAGTATCCTGATTCATTATGTATATACTTTGATACCAATTGCAGTTGGATATATTGACACAGACGTCACTTTACTATCTAATACAAATCTCTTGCATGAAGTTTCTGTTTTGGATAACTTCATATGTGACTGTACTTCTCACAATGGCAATGAACCAATTGCCGAGCTGACGCTCATACTCGTGACTACGACACTAGAGATAGTAGAACCGTATTCAAATGCCGACAAAGTTTATCTCCAGATCCATGTTAACCTTCGTGATCGGACCATGCCGCAATCCGCGTATACTCACGAACGCGCAATACGAACCAAGAGAAGTCAATTTTGTTTTAGGCCGAAGTTTGGTCTATTGCGCTGGGATATCCCGACACATCAAGAACACGGGATCCCTAAGACATTTATCTGTTCAGTGACACTAGTGACCAGTAAGTTTGCACGAACCCGGGAACCAGGTTCACAACGTTCACAATTAGAGTTTTAAGGCTTCACGGGTAATGGCTGCAGAGAAATTGCACATGACGCTGACAGGCGACAGAAATAGTTACGTTGCGTGTCAATGTATGTTACCACCCTGTGGCTCACCCGAATGCAAGCCATGTTCGGCACATACGGGAAAGCACTTGGTTCCTGCAGAGACATGCAGATGGCTTAAGCAGGGTCGGGACGAAGTACGCTTGGACGGTGCGTAAGTTATGCAGCTGACTGTCATTCATAAATGTAGCACAGATAGGAGGGCGCTATGTAAGACTGAGGACCAGTTAGTGGCTCGTGATCGGTGTCATCAGGATGACAGACGTCATGTTCACGTTGATGACATAGCTTATATACAAGACAGCTCTGAGACATCTAGCCCTAAAACCCATTAGTCATAGCGGGAAATATCATATTCGTTGAGAATGACTGCATTGTTTTTGCTGACAGCTTCACAGAATCATAGCGTTCATGTCTGACATGAACGTTCAACAGCTGGGCTGCGCAGCTAACATCAAATGAACTAGCTAAAGAACATCGTATAAGTAAAGTTGCCACCGAGATCTAGTATCATGTTCATGCTGTCGAGCTCCAAATTACCTACTCAGGCTTCTTCAACCTCGCCTCCAGCATCGCAGTACATCCATAGGCAGATGGGTAAATCTTGACTAGCTCCAGACCAGCAGCTTCAAAGATCTCCTCGAAGTCTGCCTTCTTCTTCTCCTGCCCAGTCATGGCGAGAAGTGCAAAATCGAGCCAGTACAGATCTGTGAACTTGTCTTTCTCGACCATGTCGGGAATCAGCTGGTCGCATATGATCAGACGGGAATCGGGTCCCATGGCTGACGCGGTGTTCTTGACGAATTCGATACATACTGGCGTATAGAAGTCATGAAGGAAGCGGCGCATAAAGTAGATGCGGGCGTCTGCGACAAGTCAGTCATTGATATGAATCAGAGGCGTGGTTACAGACTACAGTATGTCTGCCGACTCTGGGGAGTCACTTACTCTTGATAGGCTGCGGAGTAAAGGCATCGTAAGTCATAAGTTCAAAGTCTGGATATTCCTTGGGGTCCATCGAGTCTATGACACCAGGGAGGTCCTGGAGGATATACTTCGCGTCAAAGGCATCACTAATGTCTTTGCGGATGGCGATGCACGACTGACCACGGCCGGCACCGATATCCACCAAGAAAGGTCGTTCCGGATCCTGAGCCACTTCGTCTTTGAGCGATGCAAAGGGGAACATGCCAACGACAGGCATCAACTCATCAACAGCAACCATGTTTGCGTTCCAAAGCTCGCGTCGCTCAGGATCGGGGTCCATCTCTAGCAGCTCATAGTATGACTTTCCCAAATGCTCCTTGCCAACCGAGTACACGGCAGGGGATTTTTTGAGATCAAAAACATCTTTAGGCTTGTGGGACTTGAGGTACTCAGGAAGATGCATCCAAGCACGACTAAACTCCAACACAATCATGAAAAATGAACCCAAGCCCCTCGGGTTCAAAATCTGCGAAAGGTCATTGTGAGCATACGTATCAGGCGCAGTCTCAACAAAAACACCATGACTAATAGCAACACGGTAAATACGCTGAATCACAGTAGTAGCCACATTGGTAATGCGAGCCAGTTCCTCAGCGGCGATGGGACTTCCATCTTCGGGCATGGCGTGGTATGCCCGGATTCCAAGAATGGTATGGAAAGCGCATCCGAGACTGAATTGCTCCATTAGGTGTGTCATCTGATCCATGGGATCCTGAAAAGCTGAGCGAACTGCTTCCGTCTGTTTGAGGACATTTTGGTGGCTGATGGGATCATCCTCGTATGATTCGAGCTGGGCGACCAGTTTCTTTGCCTCTTCGAGGGCCTTTTCAGCTTTGGGATGAACCATTGTCAATGTTTTGAGATTTTAGGGATGTCGAGATGTGGCTTGAAGGATTCAACTGCTGAGTCTGGATTTGCGGAGATAGCAACTGTCACCGCATGTTCCGTAGACCATGTGAATAGTATATTCAGTTAAGAGTGTTCAAGGCGGGGCACCATCAACAGCCAAGCAAGGACTCAGATCATATCAGTCCATGAGCGTTCACTTCCTTACAAGACAGGTTAGTAGGTGGGTATATACCCAGCCCAGGTTCTGTAATCCCGGGTAAAGTGCCTCAACCATGCAGATCACGACCCAATCAGAATATTATATCCGCGATAAACTGGAGTTTGAACTGCGGCACGGCCCAAGTGATGGGAGCTTGGTCCGGTGGCATTTATCGCAGTAGCGAGGATGATTATCACTATGGCGAGTTTGTTTCGACATTTGCTCAACTTCTCCTTTTGACCGTGTCCACTTTGCATGATTCTAATACACAAACGATTGTGTTACTAACAGTGTCGCAATGTCGTCTCCTCGTGCTCCCGAAGAAGAGGTTATACAGCCTGACGCTGTAAGTTTATTCCATGTAGGGCTGAAGTCGGACTAAACGGATTTGTCTAGGCTTTGCAGAATGTCACTGAGGATGAGGTTAGTGGGCCTATTGATACGACTCATCCAGAAGGCTCTACCTGCTAACCAACGATCCGGTCAAATAGGCTTATGATAATGAGAGTGAGCGGTCGTCTTTGACATCCCTGACTTCCTCTATCCTACATGGAAAGGTCGAGGGCGGAAGAACCTATGCCGTGTATGGCAAAGAGGGCAAGTCTCCCAGAGTAAATCGCTTGGTCAGTGCTGACAATTTTCAGAATACGGATTGCCAATGGATGAGGCTGAGCTTGATCGCATCGATATGTGCCATGCTAAATACTGCGCGTTGATTGGAAAGAACCGTTACTTGGCGCCTTTAGAGAAGCCCCAGAGAATTCTAGATCTCGGCTGTGGTACAGGTTCGTGAAGCCTCATTTCTTGGCAGTGACAGCAGCGTATTGATAAGTAATTCCTTGCTGATAATCTCGATAAAAGGGATATGGTCAATCGAAATGGCAGAAGAGTTTTCATCTGCAGAGGTGAGTACAGGATCTTGCTTCCGTGGTTACATCGGGTGAGCAGTGACTGACAAGTTCCCAGGTCATTGGGACAGATGTTGCACCGACGCAACCTGACTGGTAAGTGATCGATGCGAGCACAACTGTGAGACTTTCTGGAACTAATGTTTGATAGGGTGCCACCAAATTGTCACTTTGAGGTAGACGATATTGAAAGAGAATGGACATGGAGAGAAGACAGCTTTGACTTTGTTTATGCCCGTGATCTTCTGCTAGCAATTCGAGACTGGCCAGCCCTGATTGACCAAACATACACGTGAGCCCTAACTCTGCTCGTATGCGATATCGATACTAATTCCACCAGACATCTTCGAGGAGGCGGCTGGGTCGAGTTCCAAGCCATCGTCGGCGTTCTCGGGTGCGACGACGACTCCATCCCCGAAGACAGCTATCTCCGCAAATTCTCAACAATGATGGAGCAAGGCTCTGCGAAGTTTGGTGCCAGTCTGACTGACCCGATGCGATGGAAGGGCTGGCTTGAAGAACGCGGGTACCAAAACGTCACAGAGCGAGTTTTTAAGCTTCCGTTCAACCCGTGGCCTAAAGATCCGCGTATGAAGCTCCTGGGGGCTTGGGAGATGGAGAATCTGCTAAGTGGACTTGAAGCCATGGTAACGAGGATGTTTTAGAAAGGACTTGGATGGACAGATGCTGAAGTTACTGTCTTCCTTGCATTTTGAGAAAGGAAATTGAGAATCCTAGGATGCATGGGTACTGGCCTTAGTAAGTTTACCCTGGAAGTCTTCACCTACCTAGAGGGAGAGACGTGGTACTCTTAATCGTTCTAACGTCTCTACAGCTACGTTGTTTACGCTCAGAAGCCAAAAGAGGATTCCTAACAGCAAGACCAACGCTTCTGTCTACCTTACAATAGAGATGCCGTGTGTTTGAAGATAAGGTATCAGCAAGCAAACCATCAATACTACATTTTTGACGAGAAACTCAATTCAATTATTAGTATTCTGTTTATTTGACTCTCGGTTACCCTGTAGATTAGGTTTGTCATGTCTTGCGAGTCAGGGTCACATTGACGCTTAGACCTTTCCCCTGTTCCTCGCGTGGCGATCAGGGGTAAGTAGAATTGAACCACTGCCTGACGGGGCTGTCCTTCTGGATTTTTTTCGAGGGGTTCTCTCTAAACCTCCTTTATTCTCCTTGGTATTAGATTGCTTGAAGCTAGGGGAAGATTCCGTGACCATGCAGGCCCATGCTTAAGTTAGATTGATGCCTCATCCAGCTCTAGCATAATCCTCTTACTTTAAGACGTCATTTGATAGCTAGCAGAGGTGAAGTCTCCTGAATCTACTGGTATGAATCCTGCCTAAATAGGAACACCAATGTGAATGACAAAGGTCACTCAAGACTCCCGTGACATACAAAGCATGCGTCTACCTTGACAATTTCTGACAGATATACATCACTTCACTAGCATGACTCAACCTGGCAGCGTGATGAGCCGCACGGTTATACGCCAACGCAGACAATTCCCAGACTCCACCGTAATCTATTATGCTTATCCAATACCGTCATACTGGATGAACTTCCTTCGGACACCAACCGAGTCGTTGAAGGCTGTCCCGGAACCAAGGAAAAGGAGGTTGGACAAAATGAAAACGAGATGGAAATGAGCGAAGTTTCGTTATCTATTGCGATATTCCTCTGCACGGGGCGTTTTTGTCATGGGCGCTCGAATGTGCCCTCAAGATACGGGTGTAATTTAACGAAACTGACGGTGGATCGGCGTTGCATTGGCGAGAGTGCTATCCCGAAGATCCCGCGTCATAACATTTTCATGAACACTTCTCGCCAGGAAGAAATGTCAGTCAATAGTCAATTGAGACTACCACATATCGCTCGAAACCTCAAAACTCTCGTTTTGTTGGGCTTCCTGGAGGATTTATCTGGATGCTGAGTCACAGCCTTACAGATCACAGAAGAAGCTATCTCCAACTACTCAGGACCCCTGCAGCTCGACCTGGCCGATGATACGCCAGAGTCCCATCAACGTCATTGTGCTAGCAACAAAAAACGACGATCTCTGGCGGAATCCAACGTTTTGTTTATTGCGATCGACTCGGCAGTTGGCGATGTTTCATCGCTCCACAATCGCGTGTTTCAACACCAACCATCAAGCCAAACAGAGCAGCGATGAACCATTCCCCCAGTCCATCCCAACTGTCGGTTTCATCCGACGTGCAAAAACAGCTTGAAGATCTAACTCTCGCTTATGTCGTGTAGTATCGTCTCCTATCTAGGGTCCCATCATCTATCTCTTGCTCAAAGTGTATATAAGAAACTCCAAAAGTCAATCGGTTTAGAACATTCACCCAACCATCCACTCTCACTTCTCAACCCAGTCACTCTTTTTTTCAAAGCAAGATCTCACCAAGTCACTCTTTATTTACTTTACGCTTTTGTTCATCATGAAGTTCAGCCTTTTCTCCCTCGCTGCTCTGGCCGCTTCGGCCATGGCTGCTCCTGCTGCTCAGGTTGCTGCTCGTCAGGTCCCATCTGTCCCAGTTGCCAACGGTGCTGTCAGCCAGGTTGAGACCATCGCTACCTCTCAGACCGTCACCAAGACAGTTACCAAGAAGATCACTGCTGTCAGCGTTTCCAACACTGGCGGTGTTGTCAAGGTTCTCACCATTGCTGTTGACCAGGTCAAGAGCCAGACCACCACCATCAGTAAGTCAAGCTACTATAGAGTTCGGGTTACATGATTGCTAACAACATCCTCAGAGGAGGTCATCACCAAGGTCAAGTCCAACGCCATCTCCAAGACTGCCGCCATCAAGGTCGTCACTGCCGAGGTCCACTCCCTCAACGAGCTCCTCACCGCCGTTGTCAACCAGCTCAAGGATGTCGTCAGCATCAAGATCAACATCCCCGACGTCAAGGTCATTCTCGGCCTCGTTATCCAGCTTCTCCACGAGCTCGTTGGGGTCGCCAAGGAGGTCCTGAGCATCCTTGGCCTCGACAACGTTATCGGCAGCGCTTTCGAGCTCCTCTTCCAGACCGTCGCCACTCTCCTCGGCCTCGTCACTCAGCTCATCGGCGACATCGTCCCCGGTCTGGTCGACATCCTCTCCAACATCCTCGACACACTTTCGGGCACTCCTCTGGGACCCATCATCCAGCCTGTCTCCAACATCTTCGATGGCCTCACTGGCTACCTCACCCAGGGCACTGCTTAAGCGACACGTTCAAGATATGAGACCAGGGTATGCCGGATATGCCCCTTAGAAGACAAGACAAGCATAGAGGGAGTTTAGACAGTGGATCTGGTTCAAGTCACGCATAATCATTAGTTAATTCAATGCTGTATATTAATTCATACGACCTCTTTGCCAAAGGAATGTCCATAACTCCGTCTCATGCTGCCATTATCCACTCGTCCATTAATTAGTCCATTATCATGTCGCGCCCATGAAGGCATCATTATATCTCATCAGTCATGTCCTCTCAGTTGCAAACAGTCTTGTAGCTACTGAAGTGAGAAGAAGTCTCGCGACACTGGTCATCCTTGACAGTCTTCTGTCCACGCTTGCAGTTGCTGTCTGTGAAGAGAAGGACTATGCACATGTCAGTAAGTCTTATATCCTGAGGAGAGAAGTAGTTCTTACGCTTGCAGCCCTTGGCATGCTCATACTGGCTCACGGACTTGACCTTGTCGCTGAACTTGAAGCATTCATTGAGTTCATCACGATGCGTGGTCAGTTCGCCGAGGTTTCCGTTATTGTTGTCACCTCCGCAGTCCTTAGAGCTCCAAATGCGCGCAGAAATGACGTTGAAGGGAAGATCGTCAGAGGCAGGCTCAGCAGCGACGCCCATGGCGAGCGCAGCAGTAGCAATAATGGTAGCGAAATGCATTTTGGTGGTTGAAATGTGAAGATGTGAATGTGAGCTATGTAACTCAGTGTTGTAGTGCGGGGTGAGTGATTGATGGCTGTTGAGTGATGATGAGAGTTTGGTCTATTGCGGGAATGGAGTTGACTTTAAATAAATCCGAGATACTCAACGCAACTTTACATTCTACTAAGACATTAATGGGCTGAGAGAGAAGATCACTACGTCAAGTCTGTGGCTGTAAGTGTCTGATGCTTCAGGAAGTACAGCTGAAAATTGAAGCCCGATACAGAACCAGCCGCGATACGAGCTGCACTGTCAGCGCTAGCAATACAGCAGTGTGAGCCCACTACGGAGTACAGCTCGTATCTTTTCCAGCAGACGGCCAAAGCCGATCAAGCAGACGCTTTTCCCAATCATTTTTGCAGAGAATTAACTCCGCTGCTATCAGAGTCGATCAGTGGAACTCGAGAAATATGCAGCAGGTATCATGTGCCGGGGATGGACTGTGCCGTGTCAACGAACCATGGCCCTATTGGGACGATCCATGTGATGCTGGTGATGTCAAATACGAGCATTGACTGTAACCCTCTGGTAGATCTCTCTCACTTCACAACAACACAGCAAGGCGATGCAAATCTCGTGTATGTATCAGAACCTCAGAATCAGCATTTAGAGTATCCATAAGTCCTATCCTATGCTTACTCAATTTATTACGCGGCCATCTCCATGCCTCCCGATTGATCGCCTCAAAGCGTCGAGACCTAAATTTAGTAGACACGGCTAAAAACTCCGACCCCACGTCGAGATGAGTTTACATCATCGTCCCCCGCATTTCCCGCCGATAATCCGGTTATGATGGAATCTCACGATACTCATGATGCGGGAGCCGCCCGGTTCATCCGCTGATTCTGCTTCCACGCGTCACATCGTCAAACACGACGTATATGCAATGCAACATGAACCAAAGTTCTCGAAAGTTGGTCACGCTTCTCTTCGGGTATCACAAATCTTGGCTGCCTTGATCCATAAGGTTCTGGAACTCCGCTTATTCATATAACCATGTTTGGATAAGCATACGAGCTAGACCTTTTGCTGTTTTATTTTTAACCTTACGCTCCTGTTGACGACGGGTTCACGACATCCTCCGCCAACTCCGTCTTGAAAGGATACATGTCTCGTTGCTTGCAGGGTTATCAGGTGGCACAGACAAGGGCGGCCGATGATGCACTAGCGGTATGCAGTTATTACGCTTTTTCTGGGAATAGGCCATTTTAATACATGATATATAGTGATACAAACGTCTTACAACCTTATCCTCATCTTCACCGTCTTCTGCAGCAGCACCAAGCTAAGCAACTTAGGCGTTGGGGAGAGCGACCTTGAAAGCGGGCATATTGGGCTTGCACCTCGTACCAACCTCTGGAAGAGTACCGTCAACAAAGTAAGCAGCAATAGCCTCAAGAGTACAGTTAGAAGCGTGTGAAGTGACTCCATGCTGTAGAGTGTTAGCTAAAAATCCTATCAAAATCATGGAAGTAGACTTACCCCAACTCCCTCGTTGATCAATAGTCGACTTTCTCTAAATCGAGAAGACACCTGCCAGGCGTGGTTCAAGGACGTGATAGGATCGTTTGCGTTGTTGACAACAAGAACTGGGAAGCTTGTATTGACGTTTCGAAGCGTGTTGGTATCAACGCCCTCAGCAGCGTCAAACTTCCATGCACCGCAGGCGATGTAGTCAGCAGCGATGGCATCTCCGAAGGAGCTTCCAGCAAGATGAGCCTGGTACATAGAGTAGAGATCCTCAGGGTTGCTGACACGGAACGAAGACTCGGAGCAAGCAATACCCTGGAATGCGTTGGTACCAAGGTTCCACTCAGATGTGTCCTCCTTGTAGATGCTGAGAGCCTTCTTGTACTCTCCGTCGAAAGCATATGACAGAATCTCTACCACTGAGGGATAGTTGGATGGGCTTGACAGCAAGTTCATAATACCGTACTTCAGCTGCTTCAACATAGAGTTGCCAGCATAGGGGTAGTCCTTGGATGAGAGACCATCAGGTAGAGTCTTCAGGTCCTTCAACTTCTGGAAGGTCTTAACCGTAGCATCTCTCAGGTCCTCAACAGTAGTGCTGCTACCGGAGTAGTTGGCCAGCTTGCAATACTTGGTGCCGAGCTCAACACACTCAGTAAACAGATGCACCAGCGACTTCTCAGCATCGTGAGGACCACCAACACCAGTTGACGTGAGGTACGCATCAGCCAAAGAGTTCGAGTCAAGAAGAAGACGGCCAATGCGATCAGGAAACATAGCAGCGGCAACTTGTCCGAGGATAGTTCCGTAGGAGATGCCCCAGAAGCGAAGTTTGCCATCTTCACCGAGAGCATCGACAATCTTCATCATGTCACGGGCAGTGAAGGCTGTGCTGAGGAAGCGGCCGTGTTCCTGCTGGGTTTCGTAGCAGGACTCGGCAATAGCTTGCATAGTCTGCCAGCCCTCGTTCTTTACATATTCCCAGAGATCTGCTTGGGGCAGTGGCTCTAGGCTTCGACGGGTGAGTTCAGCAGAAGCATTCTTACCGCAGGCGAAGGGTATGGTTCGTCCAACGCCTCTACGTAGAGTTAGTGTAGCTCAATTAAGTAGACGGAGAAAACATACCGAGGGTCAAATGAGATGATGCTGTGATGGCCGCCCATGATGCTAGAAACCATGTCAGTAACTCTTGAGAATGCGCTACGGGCTACTTACTCGCGGAAGTCCTGTCCGAGATAAGCGAGAGTCTCGATACCAGATATTCCCGGACCGCCGGGGTTCCAGAGAACGCTGCCCTTGAAAGGCTCCTTGGTAGCATTATAGCGGATCAATTGAAGCTCAACTGTCTTATCGGACTTTTTGTCCGTATAATCCAGCGGAACCTCAATAGTCGCGCAATCACCAGCCTTCAGCAGCTCCTTTGCCGCATCAGGAAGATCGAGCTTGCAAGGCTCCCACTTGAGCGATGATTCTGCACGGGCAACGAGCGAATCAGCACCATTTGTCGCGGCTGCAAGGCGCGACGCGCCGAGGAGGAGAGGGCCAAGAAGAGACTTCATCTTTACTCCGACGCGCTTCGAGTGTTTGACAAGAGGAGCTTGAACAAAGTCCATGAGTTCGCAGTGCTCGGACGGGAAATCTCAGCGTGATATAAAGTGATGTGAAGTGGAGGCTGCAGGGGTAAAGATCCCAGCGGACGGAGACGGAGACGGAGGCGGAAGCATCCGTCGATCATGATCCTTGAGATTTAATTTAACGATTGATCCTTTTGATAATCAATCAGCTTGTCGTGTCATCATCGGGCGAAGCCGTAACGAGGACTTGTTTATGCTGTGCAACGTTGACGGGTTCGATTCAACGTAACACCACTGACGAGTGATGACTGTAGACGCAGATGAACAGTAGAAAGAAGCAGACGTGAGCGATCTGTTGAGATACTCGCAAACCATCAACGACTGTCTGTTAGCTCAATCTGATAAGGCCGGCACATCGTTCACGTTCACGCGCTAGGTGGGTTCTGCTAATCTCCCGAGCCCCTCAGCCGACAACATTGAAGCGGAAGGATCTCTTGGCGTAAGCAAGACTCCGACGACCTATCCATTCAGCACGTTCAATGGTCATATTGTGTACATAAAAGAATGACAAATGCCGCGGTCTTTTGCTAATTGTCATGCGGTGATATCACCTCAAGTAAGCAGACTGTCAGCCGGAGGGCAGCCAGGACCCAGAGTCATAACGCCATCGCTAGTGAACAGCGACTTGAAGGGCCATGTCTCGACGGTACGAAAAGAAAATCGCAGCAAAAGGGTAAATGCCTACGAGGTGCTACGGTGAGCAAAAGAAGAAAGGAATGCGGTTTGTGTGGATCGAACACACGACCTTCAGATATCGGTTGATATTGAGTGAAGTTTTTACTTCAGTCTGACGCTCTCCCAACTGAGCTAAACCCGCTGACTAAGTGATAGTTGAGACTCAAATCTAGATTGATGTACTTAGTATTATCCACTGGCAGTTAATGATACTTCTCGATATCGTCTTGCAGCACCCTCGTAGCGTTCGTAATGATGAGCCTTTCTTCTTTGGCGAACTGGATCCTTGACTCAATAATGAGGTTCATCTGAGGTTGATCACCCAATCGTGATACTCAATTTGTAGTCGCTCTCTTTATCCCTTGACCTAGCCTCTACCCTTATGTTCAACTATCTTATTGTCCTTAACTCTATGGCTCGAGCATCTAGAACATTAACACTAGAGATGCGGGATGCGGCGTCTAGTTGAGCCTGGCCGTCGCAGGTTCACGTAGATTGTAACCTGGTTTTGCGAGTCGTGCGACCGTTGAAGTCTCATGGTTACATCTCAAAGTACAGATCATAATGGTTCCTGCATCCCGGATTGAAGCCAGCATCACATCTGGGACACCGGTTACCACTCCCGAGATACTCTGCAATTGTCAGTTCCAGGCGACAGTTGCCGCACAAGACGGCCAACTCATGCTGTTCTACTTTGGGCCAGACTTGATTGGGATGTCCTGCTAGTTCTTCATGGCAGCTGATGCAGCCGTAGTAATCCATGCAACATTTATGCCGGATGGCGATAATGTCAAGATCTGAAGACCAGTGGTAGCATTGAAGCTTTGGGCTGATATTCACTCCATGGACAATCGGTGATGCTGGCGCTGGGGATATTATCGATTCGTGCTGCGGCATTTAATGCGACCGATGAATCTGGTGGAAATTGATGATGTAGAGGGGAGCGAAAAGAAGAGAGTCGTGCAAAATATAGTGTTTCGTCCAAGCGACTGTCATGTATTGAATGCGGGAGAAGAGCTGAAGTGAGAAGGACAGTATAAGGTTACAAGGACGTTGAGAATGCTGTTGATGTTTGGGGGCTGTTAGTAAGCGATAAGAAATGATGCAATTATAGCGGCAAACATGGCTTTACCTTATCGCGTGCTATTTCTAGCCTAACACCAACCGATAAGCGGAGCCCAGGCTTGAACTGCGTTGACCCATCAAAGAGGCCGGACAAAGACATTTTCGATGTTTCGGGGGCATAGCAATGGAACAGATAGGGAACACAACAATGTTCACATACCTATCATTGATAGAAGTTCCGTTCAGGCACGCCACTAGAACATTGAGCCAAAGTATTGTCCAAGGAATAAAGACCTTCCAGATTGACGTAGGACCCTCAAATATCCCAGACAAAGACCTGCAATAGTAATAAAAGAACGACAACCTGATGATGGCCACTCGTTCATTCAAACATTGATACGTCGAAGCACCCTGATATCTTCACAAAATGCACAGAAACGACCCCACCACACAATACATAGAACATGACGATGATGAGGAATGGCCTTTCGGCATGGAACATTGGATACTGCCATTGTTCCTGTTCTTCTTGTACATCACTATTGGCAGCTATATCAGCACGCCATATGATAGTGTTTGTATAGATCGAGGTCCCCTACCGATCCAAAACTTCGAGAAATGGGCGCCTAAACTTGACGATATCAAAATTAATATCCAGAATATTATACAGGAACAAAATAACAAAGAGACATCACGGACTCTTGATGCAATCTATATACCTGTTGATATTGCTACCAGCCTTCAAAAGGAAAATCAGCAGCTGAAACAAGCTATTGGCTGCAAATTCGACGACGAGAGACTTTTGCAAATCGCGAAGGAGAGCGTGGAAGAGAAACTTCAAAGCTACCCCGAGAATTCTCTATTCAGAGAGGAACTCATAGCTGTGCGAGCATATGCATTACTCTCCCGTTTACAGGAGCTACAAGAAGCCAGAAATGAGATCTGGAAAAAGCTCAACGGTCAATTTCGCCAAGACCTCAACAAGATCACTTACAGCGTATGCTATGCTTCTGCACAACTCGAAGACCTTGCACGAGAAGCCAAAACTTTCAATAAGCCGACGCTTCGACAATTACAAAAGGTAAGTGTTGCCACATACGTTCTTTGCCAAGAGAGTCGCAGCGATGCTCGAACGCTTGATGAGCTTGTCGATCAACTTGGCGTTCGTCTATCGCTTGTTGAAACAGCTATAAACAGGCTCGGTGGCCTTCGTGACACTTTTGAGGGGAAACACGCTTTGACGAAGCTGTGGAGATACTTGATGGTCAACTTGACAGAGGAAGAACTTGACAGCTACGAGGCTGAACGGATGATGATTGGAAGAAACATGATTGAAATGTTGGACGGGGGGGTTGTTTTACCAGAGCTGGCCTCATAGTAAAGCCGAACCTGGTTAGCCACGGCGGAAGGGATGAAGGCTTCCGCGATCCAATCGCGTCTCTATCGAGAGGCAATTTCTTGGTTCTACCAATGACTTTGTGACAAGGGGCGGGGATAGAAGCATGGTGGTAGTATTAGGTATCATCACGGAGGAAGATATCCGGTAGAGCTCCATATATCGTAGTAATTACACCTATTGTCTTACTTACTTGCAATATTTTGAGCATGCATGTAAGAACCAAGCATCCATTACGGACTCCCTGTTTCATCGTATCCGAAAAAGGACGAATATAAGCGAATCAAGCCGATATGCATGTGACTCGATAAGATACGTCATTGGGTATTGCCAATATGCGAGAGTAAAGGCAACTTGCTCTTTCACTATCTTACAGGCGCCTTGATAGCCTATCACAGCATTCGCCAAGCTCTGTTGGTGGGAGGTATCGCAATTATCGCCCATTTGAGCGCTCAGCTCGTTGGCAATGGCACGCAAACATTACGCAGTATGCAACAACAGACGAGCTTCTTACTCAAATGGGTAAAACATGCATACGTTTGCTGGCCTCTAGATGGGCAGCCAACAGTGATGATGCGACTTTTGGTGCTGCCTTCTGTTGAGGAAAGGACCAGTACATGAAGCCGCTGTGAATGATGTTGACCCCGCAGCTCTGAGGCGACTGTGTTGCTTGTTGTAGGTGATGGGAGAGCATATCAGAGGGCGAATGGTTGCCACTCGTTTGATAGCGAGGGACGACTAGTGACGGCATGTGATGTGATGTGATGGACGGACACAATAGTGGCATAGCCTGGACTTCGTGGTTATACGCTAGCTTTTGACGTCAAATCGGCATTCAATAGACTTATTATTTGCGAAGAGCCTTGAACTTGAACTGCCGGACGATCATAAATATCCATAGATCTCTTCGCAGTTTAATACAATGATCCAGCACAGCATGCATGCTCCTGTTTTCGTTGGGACATGTTGGGATCACTATTCTAGGTCATATCAGAGTCTTTAAGCTTGGTAATGATTACAACCCTCCCTTGATGGCCACTCTTGAGTCGCAAACGCATCACTGATCGTTACACAAAGACCGTTGGTGGAACCTGATCACGTCGCATAATGCAAGTTTGCACCCTATATGCACAAATAGTCACACACGGTGATCCTCTTCAACAGGAAATGTGAACGCCACAATTCTAAGGTTGTAGGAAGCATATATGGTGGACGAGAATCTCTAATATGACACCGGTAAAACACCATCAATCTCATCTAGCCAAGCAATTCTAGGTCAACTGTCATGCTGAACCTATCAGTTTCTCAAGGGCTCATGCTCTCCGGTGCAACAGTATGTAAATTCCGGCATGGACCCAACACTTACTCAAGCTAATGTTGCAGTTTGTATCGTGGATCATCGGCGTTATCATCTACAGGCTGTACTTCCATCCTCTCGCAAAATTCCCAGGCCCCAAAATAGCTGCATGCAGTGAGGTAAAGTTCCCCTCTTCCCTCATTCCCTTCGTATCTAAGCCCTTGAACAGTTTTGGTTCTTACGCAGTTGGGCCAGTGGTCGCTATATCAATTATATGGGCGATCTGCACCGCAAGTACGGCGATGTTGTCCGAACTGCCACCAATGAACTCAGCTTTAGATCTCCAGTCGCACTCAGGGACATTTACAATCATGTTTCCAAAGACCGACCCACGTTCCTGAAGAGTGACACCTTCTATACTGTTGATCCGTCTATCCCGCGCCCTGATATTGTGTTCACTAGAGATCCACAAGATCATCGGCTGCAGAGAAGATCTCTCGCGCATGCTTTCAGTGCAAAGGCCTTGAGGGATAATGAAGAGTCTGTACAGTTTCACGTCAAGTTACTCCTAGAGCGACTCGGACAGAAAGCAGGACCTGGGACTGCGGGAGCCAACATGTCAGAGGTCTTCAACTGGCTGACCTTTGATGTTATCGGTAAGTAGTCTCTTCAGCACCCATCACCAAGAACAAGGCTGACCAGAGTCCTAAGGCGATCTCACTTTTGGCGAATCATTTGACTCGCTGAATCAATGGAGACCTAGCGAATGGGTAACTTGGCTTCTTGGGTTTGTCTCTTCCCTCACTTTTCTCCCCTTCATCAACCGCTTCAGGATCCCAATGACACTAGCCGTGTCTGTGATGCCGAGCTATCTCAAACAAAAGATCGACATGCATACAATTGAAAAGGTCAAGAAGCGGGTCGCAATGGGAAACTCCCGCGACCGAGAAGACTTTTTTGCTTATATCCTCAGGAAGGAAAGAGACAACCTAGATCTTGTTCATCTGCGTGAGCAGGCCAAGGTTCTCATGATCGCTGGGTCTGAGACGACAGCAAACCTACTTGCTGCTTCTACTTATTACCTGCTGAAGAACCCTGACAAGTTGGCCAACCTTCAGGCCGAAGTGCGCTCAGTGTTTTCGTCGCGAGACGAGATCACGGGTGATGCTGTGGCTCATCTTCCTTACTTGAACGGTGTCATTGAAGAAGGTCTTCGCATCTTCCCTCCAGTTCCTTTTGGTCCCCCACGCGTCTGCACAGGGGCCACTATCGATGGACACTACGTCCCCAAAGGCGTCGTTGTATCTGTCGATGGATTCGCGACGACGCATGATGAGCGCAACTTCACTCGACCGGATGAGTTTCTGCCAGAACGATGGATCGGCGACGACTTCGGAGATAGAAAAGAGGCTAGCAAACCCTTTTCGCTTGGCCCTCGAGGATGCTTGGGTATCAATCTTGCGTATATGGAAGCGAGAGTTACAATGGCCTCACTCGCTTGGAAGTACGATTGGGAGCTTGTCAACCAGGATCTCGACTGGCTTACCAGTGTCAGATTGCATCTGATTTGGCAGAAGCCGAAGCTCATGGTTCGGTATCATCCACGAGACGGAGTAGCAACTACTTAAGGGGAGGTTTTCGCACGGCATACGAACGGGGAATCCAGCAACCAGGTTTACTTAGTGACTTTAGGTGTTTAGGGATTGCGCTCATTACGATCACAAATCACTCCTTCAGGGCTTTAGGCAACGCGGAAGCATGTGCACCTTGAATCGGTTATGCACCAGGAGGATCTTAATATATGTATATTCATAACTCCAATGCAGTTCAATAGGTTGTTAATTTGAACGGTCGGACTGAAACACCCCAATGCTAAATTAGTTGATCTGCTATTCTATGTGGCGCACTACTTCAGCTGGTCGGCGATTATACGAACTTCTAACCACGGAAGGGAAATTCCTTATCGTCAGAGGCGCTTTTAGACTTGGCTGCCCTGTCAGGGGATTAGTTAGCGCCTCAATCATTGCCGATGGCTGCTGATCTATCATTGACAAAATATGACTTCCATGATGATGTCAAGACTTCAAGCCTCAATTTCCCCTCCTCTCGAGCACCTACTGGTCACGCTTAAAGATGAGAAAAAGATGTATGATCGTATTACAATAACTTAATTATGCAAAAATGGTATCAGAACTCGCTAGTCTATGAAAGCACAGCCTTGTCGGCCTTGAGTCTCGCAATCACTGTGGACATATCCACGTCTTGAATGTTCACGCCCTGGTCGATAGCAAGGCATGCAGCAGTAGCAGCACCCTGGCCCATGACCATATATGTAGGCTCCATACGGATAGCAGAGTAAGCGATGTGAGTAGCGCTCATGGTAACGGGGTTGAGGAAGTTTGTCGCGTCGCTAGGCTTGGGGAGAAGAGCCTGGAGAGGAATGTTGAAGGGGCCGGGAGTTGCGATGTGAACCTTGCCCTCGTCGCGGATCTCTCCGTTAACGACGATTCGCTCGACTTGGTGAACGTCGAGAGAGTAGGCACCCATGCCGATGCTGTGGTTTGGTCGGGATGGAGGAGTCTGGATGTCGCTTTGGCGCATGGTGTAGACTCCGTTCATGCGACGTCCCTCTCGGATGTAGATCTCATAAGGCCAGTTGCCATTCTTGGTGTACTCATCCTTGGCGTATCCCCATTCATTGACTCTGTCACGCAGAGACTTGGGAATACGGGGATGGTTGGCCATAGCCCAGAAGAAACCCTGAGTATAAGACTTGTGTGTAAGGTAGATCTGTCTACGCTTGTCATAAGACCAGAGAGCGTAGTTGCCGTCGTCGTCGTAGTTAGCGCCGATCATGTCAGTGCTGACTTGACTCTGAGCATTAGAGTCGGTCTTGATGTTGGGCATGAGCTGTGAGGTGAAAGGAGTTCCAGTGTATCCAGATTCGTAGTAACGGAAGAGGAGCTCATAACGAGACTCGACGTAGTCGGCGGGCTTGGTGAAGGGGATCCTGTTGTTGGTCTGCTTGGTGAGAGTCATGCGGAAGTTGTAAGATTGTAGGCGATAGTCATCGCCCTTGCCCTTGAGAGAAACGGCATCCTTGACAACTCGACCAACACCCTCAATGAGGCCACTGCTTGAGTCACCCTTCTTCTTCCAGGGATCAACCTTTGAGAGTTGATCAGAGCCGCCGGGTCGGAAACCAGCAGCATCTTCGTTGTAGTCGCTGATGCTCTCACGTCCAGTGCTGTATGAGATACCAGCAGCCTCCATGAGATCACCCTCGTAGCTGGCGTCGATGAACATCTTGCCCTTGAAGACACTTCCCTTGGTAGTTCTGAAAGAGGTAATTTGACCATTCTTCTTGGTCACCCCGCTGCTGGATCGATCAATGGGCTGGTTGCGGAAGATGGGAACCTTTCCATCCTTCATCCACTTCTCGAGAATGGACTCAGCAACCTTGGGTTCGAAAGTCCACTGAACTTTCTTGCTCTCATCAATAGCAGGACCGGGCTGGGCTCCAATCTTTCGTGCAATATATTGCGAGCGCGTCTCCTGTGTCCATGGACTGGTCTTCTGGTAGTAGGTATAGACCTTGCCGTAAAACTCCCTGGCAATGCCACCAATAGAGCTTCCCTTCTTGGAGTCTGTCCATCCAAGACCGGATGTTGTCAAGCCACCCAGCGTGTTACCGGGGAAGACGATAGCAACACTCTTCTTCATGCGCTTGGTCTGTACAGCAGCTGCTATCGCAGCAACTGTGTTGCCGTAGATGACGACATCATACTGGACATCTGCTCTCTCGGCTGGGGCAGCTGAAGCAGTTGTCATGAGATACGACACCATCAAAATGGTGAAGATGAAGATGAGGAGACGATTCCTCAGTAAGGCTGCCATTTTGGTTAACAAGCGCATATGACCTTGCAGCTTGAAGGTGATGAAGAGAGTGAAGAGGTAAAGAAGGGAAAAGAAAATAAGGTATTAAGGTAAAATGAGTGGCGTGGAAGTTTGATGGCCGAACTGGACGCCCACGACCAAACAAGGGAAAGATTCAGATGACAGTGGTTTTATGAGGAATAGCAGTGACATGCGGTGGCAGACCAGGGGGTGAGTAGTCTAATCTTGAGCACAGAATAAGGTAGCGACATCTCGTATTTCTAGGAAAATAAAAGAGGCCAATTTGGGGACCAACAGATTTAACCTCCGGGGGTCTAGACCACAAGAGTCTGTTGGTCACATTCTAACCAAGACTGCTCTCGCCGTATTACGGCATGGCCATACCAAAGGAACAAAAAGAAAAAGGGCTAGACCGTAGGGAAAGGCATATCGTGCGGTGTGAGCGTGGATCAAGGGAGACAATTGGGCTGTGCTGAGCAGTGCAGTTTGTAAGTAAATCTTGGCCCCCTCCCTTAACTCCAAACTATTGACAACACTATCGACACTGGACAAAAAAGAAGCCTCAACTTACAGTGGCCGAGGAGCTTGAATGGATGCGCCCAGACGGGCGAGGGTCTGTGTGTCTGCGCTTCTAAATCGAGGTCAGTCCTTGTAAATTGCCATTCGCGCAGCCTTCGTATAAACGACCGAACAGGCATTGTGTAGCAGCCGGACCAAGATAGGAAAAGGCCGATCACCTCGACTCAAAAGCCAAGACGGTCGGTTAATTATTCAGTGAGCAAGCACAAGACCCAGGACTCAAGAGGGAGGGAGAAGAGCGTGCGCGTTGACTGTTGAAGATTTTCGGCCCTTGTTAGAAATGGGGTTAGTTATGAGCCCTTGATTAGCGTCATGGTTCAGGGGTCGTTATGCAGAGAAGAGGGGGGGAACGGGTTCCGGACTTTCAACTGTTGCGTAGCGAAGCGCTATTTACTCTGAGGGCTTTTAGTGCACTCAGCGTGCTACGGTTCCGGCTAAGGTGCCGTTTTGGCGCTGCTGGATCTGAACTCTGATGCGATTCTACAGGGGGGGTTCCTGGTACGTACCCCGAAAACCTCGTAAAACTCAATGGCCTCATTTTACTTGCATCGCGACTGTAAACAAGGGACAGTCATGAATTATCATTTAATCAGCGGCATCTCCGTTCACAATTCTCTCTCTAATGACGAGCTAGAACTCTTGGCTCTGGACGGATCATCATTCAATAGTCTCGCTTTCTCACCACTCACCTTGGAGGCTATCTCATCACTAATGTACCTACATTGTCGATCGCTTACCTACAGCAACTTCATGATCTCATCTTCGACAATCTCGACCTTGACCTGGACTGGACCTTGACCTTGCCCTGAAAGCTTTGGTCAGCTTACAGACCCTCTCGCTTCTATCACGGCAGCCTCGGCATCTGAATGTCACCCAGCTGGGATTGTCACTCTCGAATCGATAGCCTTCAGGTTGACCAATTACAGGGCATTTAGCGCCAAATAGCGCTCTTTCTGGCGCAGCTGGGTGTGGTACAGGCTAACGTAATAGAGGCCGACGGTCGCGCACGCGCTCAATGTCATAACAGTCATATCATTTGTCGCTCGTTAAGCGGCTGCCCTTACCGAAGCGAAGCGCCACATTCTGGTCGCTCGAATTACAGAATCTCGATGAAATGAAGCATGCGATTTTCAGTTGTGAATGTGTCGATCAACGCTGCAAACGTTGATCACAAACGTCGCCTTGTTTTAAACTTTTGCCCATTGACTGACTGACTTTTGTCTATTGACACCGACTCTTCTTGGCAATTGTTCAGCCGCAGCAGTCTTGCACAAAACCGCACAAGGCTCGCTCTGCTCTTTATTGACTGCGTTGTTCGAGGCCAGTCTTTTGTGCTGGCTTATCAAATAGCCTGATTTCACGTCCCCTGATAGGTCAATGCCCTCTTCGACGTGTACAAAATTGGGTGGCCAATTGAAGAACCCATCACACTTTTACCAGGATTAAGAGCTTGCATTGGTCCCATTCCAAATCCGGCCAGGGCCCTCATGGTGCTTTTGCTCCTGAGAATCTGCATCTGCAAGGCACAGTCCCTCAAGGTCGAGATCCCTGGCCGAAAGTGATCGGAGACTCGGTCTAACTATGCTGCGGCCGAGTGCGGGTACGGATAAGCTCTGTTCTGTCCAGGGCCGGCGGTCGATCAACCTTGAGATACGAGTTTGCGTCTTGGCAGTGTAAGCTTAAACACGATCACCACTTAAGCTTGCAGGACGAGGTCAGCTGCTTCACCACGTCATGCTTACTTTGTGTGATAAGGACAAGGGAATTGTTTGGTTCCGTTTACGTAGCATTTTAGGCAGACGGTCCCTTTGTGCATGTCAAGATAAAGTACAAGCGAGTGCGCCAAGATTGATACATCAGCAGATGGATTCACAGCCCTACGCCCCCCAAGATTCGGCTGTTTCCTGTTACAGTAACATGTCAGTCGCTTCGACTCTAACCGGAGAATTGCTGCACTGCCATCAGCTGATCTGGAAAGTCAGCACGGCTCAGTTCTTGACAAGACACCCTGCTGACGGCCACGTGGGTGTCTAAGACGTGGCTGTGTAGTGAAACAACCTCATATCCGTATTTCCATTTACGATTAGGTTTATCACCTTCGTATATGCATCTCTACGGGTGGCTGAATAAGGTTAAAAATGCTACGCTAGCGGTCTCAGTTCGTAAAGGGTTATATCCTGTTCACCTGAACAGGCACTTCACAAGGCAGTGAGATCCAAATTACAAAGATGAAATCAGCCTGTCCATAGACTCTCGAGTCTCAGCAATATCTTGTTCAAGTAAATGTCAAGCTATGTCTTCCTTGGCGTATTTCATCATGGATGCCTACGACTTGAGATAATTCTTGGTATCGTATGACTCAATGCATCCAGCTTGATGAACATTTTCTATTAACGATTTCAGCTCGATGGAATGATAACACATGGCTAAAATCAACTCAGACGGGACCTGGAAAACCGTTATACCTCTTATAAAAATATTGGCATCTGCTGAGGTCTTGACCAGGAGAAGATATGATAATATCTGTTAGATTAGAGAGGACTATAGAAACATCTCGCATGAGGAACTCGGCCTAGAAAGCCTTGCAGGAGACTGTATGTCAGTTTAACGTCTGTGCATAGATTGAGAATACTACTGTCCAAATCAAACTTAAGGGAAGCAACTACGCACATTTAAAATTGTTTAAACCAGCATCAATGAAAGAAAGCACTTATATGTCTTATACTTTTTCATTCTTCTTTTACATTTTTCTAATTTCATCTATAATTCAAGGCCATAGATACTGTCCGCAGTAAGCCCATCCACACTGTAATACACTAGATAACTCCTGTATCATGTCCATAGTAAGATAGTCCAAGCTACCAAACCTTGACCCCAACCAAGTGTCAACGACGAAACGCGTCCCGCGAAATAACTGGACAGAGGGAAGTCTCATCGATCACTGTAAGCCATCCTCTATAGCCTCAACCCTGACCCTTGGGTAGGGCCAGTACGGGGAGCCTGGTGCTATATCTGCAATGAAATGGATTTGGCCACCGGGTCGCACAAGGTCCTTGAAGACGTATAGCCAGTTGGTCGGGCTAATAGCGGTGCCCTCATAACTGTGAGTAGAGTTGTCCTCGAGATAGGCAACCCATCCCTCCTCTCCGTTAACTCTTTCTTGCACCTCAGTTAGAATGTTGCAATCGTATCTGGCCAGACACGGCACACCTAGGAGTATCAGTGTCTTTAAATTAAGACAACGTGCCATCTTATCGATCTGGATTCCCAGTAGAGGTGATCCGTGGATCGCCGCTATTCTAGTCATGTCAATGCAAAGAGTGTCGAGATCTTTCAGCAGTTCCCATTTGGGGCGCAGTGAAGACAACAGAAGCTCGTCTCGGTAGCCGCACAGCTTTGAGCTCCATTGATAAAGACTACGCACTTTGTCTAGATCATCCTTGATCTCAATAAGTTTTGCGAATATAAAGCTGTAGGAGACTTTGTTTTCACGGATCATCAAATGTCTGATCTTCTCACAGGCCAGATTTTCATCGGCCGGTCGTAGTCGGTGAGTCAGTGCGGTTTGGTCTCTAGTGATACCGGCGAGATGTCGAACATTGTCGTCGCCACCAATCTCAATTGGGACTGTTGCGAGGAATTGTGTGTCGAGTAAGGTATATCCGAGATAACGAACGTTGATAAAGTCTGTGGGATTATAATACGGAGGGAATGCGTGTTTATCCAGGTTCAGAACTGGATCAGCGATGTCCTCGTCGAGACCAATTTCAGCTACTACCGTACGCTTTGTGAGGTGGCTGATTGCGAGCTCAATCGAATAGTCGTCTGAACGATCGAAGGGGAGAGCGGGTGTTTCTGAAGGCCGGATGACTCCCGCGATGCAACAATGCTGCATCGGGAGAGCCTCCAGTTTTCCACGAGACCATGTCCCGTCTCTCTGTTTCTCACCACGGGTATAGATGACTGTGGTATGGTTCTGAAAGCCGCCATCACATTGGAGCTTGCCTCTAGAGAGATGGTTCACAACACAGATGGGAGCCTCTTCGGACTCATCGATGATCCGGAGGCTGAGCTCCGGGGGGAGGAATGGGGCGCTTCCACGTGCACTGCCACCTGTAGGTTCAGACATGATGAATTTCTGGATGAGCTGTTGTTGCTGTTCTGGTGGTGTAGATCTCGTGTCTGAAGGATTGGTGAGGAAGGAAAGGTTCTGGTATTCGGTGACTGATGAAAGGGGCGAGTGTCGGAAGATCGTTGTGTGTTATGATGGGAGAAGGATGAAATTCCAAGAGTTGGTGAGCAGAAGACTGTATTTTTAGGTGTGAATCTCAAGCGATGAGCAGGATATCGTTCGCGACTTAGAGCAGGATAACCAGAGGCTGTTCATGACACTGCCAAACAAAGTTGCTCATGATACTGCCACTGTCTTCACTGTCAGCCATCACAGCTCCTCTATCAACTCATTGGTTGTCAAGGTCGAACCTCTTGCCGCCACTGAGAAACAGAGCGTCGGTGTCTGAGTGAACGTTTGTTTGGCTCGACAAGCCTGATGAATCAGTGTCGTGACTGAACGTGGATCGAACAAACATAAGCTCAACAGAGACACTGACCAGCACATACGACCATACCCACTGTTGAGAATTCGGGATCCCGTCCGCTCTCCCATAGACAAGTCAGTGAGGGGCGGACTAGTAGTTGGGTCGGTGATGACCAGCGAATGCCCGCTGTTGTATGTTTTTTTGCTCTTGTAGAAAAGTATAAGCATGCATGGGCCTTGGGATTATCACTTACTTATGCTATCTATGGATGACGGCGGCCTATAAGGTTAAGCTTTAGGCTGCAAACACAGATAATGAATGGCAACACGATATTTTCCCCGATATAAGCTTTTACCCAGAGGCTTTCACGATGACCAATAAATCTTGTTGCAAGCCCTAGGGCATTGCGAAGAGACCAAGAGGGTATAAGAAGGGATTCACTTACTTATGAAGTGACATTACGCCTACGAAATAGCATGCGAGTTTATTCGACCACATTGTCGCAGCAACTGGACGTTCAGCCCATAGTTCATGAGAAGGGCATGTGACATAGTGTAGCTGGCTAATGATAGTAATGTTCTAACATATATCAGGCAAGTAAGTCCTATTGGCGTTCCTGCAGAGACATAGAATCCTGAACTCCTGTTCAGCATAGACTATATTCATTAGCATGTTACTAGTTCTTGCTCAATATCAGTTCAGTCACAGTACTGGACAAGAGGCCTCATACAGTACCAGATACAGAGAATCAAAACCTTAAATATATAAACTTATCTAGACAACTGCCATCCATTTTTCATTACTGTGATTTATAGACTCCCATGGTTATGCGTCAAAGAGAGATATCAAAAAGTGCAAAAAACAAGGTATAATGGCGGAATTAAACCGCCTGCAATGGACGAACAGGGAATCGAACCCTGGACCACTCCCAGATTATTCAGATGAATTATGCTAAGGGAGTATTATACCACTAAACCATTCGCCCGAAGGATAGAGGCATTTATTACTATTGGTGCTGAACAAGGGACCGCTGACAGATCAATGACAGTCTTTCAGCCAACAGTGATTGCATCCAAGTCAGCGATCACATCCAGCTGTATATAATGGAGACTTTAGTAAGTACCCTTGGCTAGATAGAAACTAGACATCTTATATACAGACAGCCCCATTCCAAGATGTCTTAATCGAGGTTGCGGCTATAAGTTGTGAGATCTAACGTTAGTGTCGAGCAAACAGCCAGAGGCACAGTGGTCTTGGTGGTCAGCGATAGCGTACTTTATATATTAAAAATCCCAAAAACAGCTCACCGTCTGTCTCTACGACCTCATCCCACATTCACTTTATGCCTGCAACTGCGATTGTCGATAGATAAGACTCCGAAATGAGTAGGTGGAGATTGCTGAGGGAGCCACGTGATTCTCGGGCAACAGTGGCTATTCTAAGATGCTGCTTACATCCGCTATCTCGTCAGCAACCGCTTTGTAATGCCGACCTTGCTCACAACTTCAGATTCACGAATTCCTTCAATTCTTGTTGGATCCTTCATGTAAAATGGTCAACTATGGTGTCTCTCGCGCGTGCGAGACATGCAAAAAGCGGCGTAAAAAGGTGCTATGATCTGATCTTCGTCAAGGCAAATTTGCTAATCACTCACGACAGTGCGATGAAACTCGTCCAGTGAGTACCAAACAGGCATAGCCTGTAAAACTAAAGCACTAACGCAGAGTCCGACAGGCCTGCCTTCGCTGTGTAAAGTCTCGTAGGCGATGTCCTGGTTATAAAGACGACACCTCACTGTTATTTCGACACTACCAGCCTACAACGCCGCCACTAGAGCGGTGGCATCCAAGCAATGACTTCATACTTGAAGCTACTGCGCTTGATAATTTTCTTGATAATTTAGTGGTTCAATCTCGCGATCGGAATCATTCACGTGGTTTTCTCGATGGGATGCATTATCTCTTTGCTACCTCTGCTCCGACGTCGACTTTGATGAGAGCTGCCAAAGTCGTTGTTCTTTCATCACTCGCAAACCGCTATAGGCGAGACTCACTGATGAGTTCAGTTCGGAGACAGTATGGACAGGTCTTGGTTGATTACACCCGAGCTTTGTCGCAGAAAACGGCGAGTCCATCTGTAGAGAACTTCTTCACCGCAGTACTGTTGGGTTTATACGAGGTTAGTCTCTTGTCAGCTGTGCGATGCTTGTTTATTAACCATTGTTAGCTTGTAGCAAGTGACAATACCTCTCCGACCAAGCATCTAGTGCATGTTCGAGGGCTCGCGTCCATCCTCTCAAAAGGCATTACATACTCGACACCAGAATCGAAAGTGAGCGTCTATTCTCCCGGGATGCGTCTCGTCACAAAAGGAATCATGGCACGTATCCTATTATCTATCAAGGGTAACCCTATGCTTATATCCTCCTCAGACCCATCAAACGGGCACTGGTATTCTGTGCCCTCCTCTTGACAATACCTATCGTCGATCTCTAGATGACATTATCATCAAGATGTCAACTCTAACAAGTCGAGCAGAGAAGCTACTCTCAGACCCCTCTCCTCCAGTATTGGAGCTTCTAGAGCTACAACGAGATTTATTGGCGATTGACGACGAGATTACATACTGGGCGTATGACCGACCCCCTAGCTGGAATCCAGAAGTGGTTGGGGAAGTCGGGATGGATCCAGCAATATCAGAGGAATCCTTATTCTATTGTGCCGGCCCAGTTGAGAAGTACTTCGATAGTAAGCTAAAACTCCTATCATGTATATGTGACCTACAGCTAAATCTCCTCAACAGTATACGTCGCAACTGCATGGAACTCATGGCGTTCAATACATGTCATCTATCTGGACCACCTCATAGACGTTGCCAATTCCCTTGGACAATACGAGCTTGTTCCTCTATATAAAGAGCGAATTGACGAGCTGGCTTCGGGGATCAAGGCTTCCATTCCATTCCATCTCTACCAAGACGTTGAGATCTACATCCAGCAAGCAAATGCTGGGACTCCCCTTGTTCACTCAGACCGGCTGGTCGGAGGTCTACTGCTTCTCCATCCTATGTATGCTCTAGCTCGCTGCACCATTGTCGATGACTCAACCAGAAAGTTCATGTCTCAAACTCTGAGGTGGATCGGTGGTGAGATGGGAATTCGACATGCGATCATTTTGGCAGATGGCCTTCAGCCTGATATGCAAGGACCTTCTGCGATGCAGAACTCCCAAATCTCCTTCATCGACGCACTCGATGGGCATTTCCTGATTACCGCGAGTATGATGTTAGAGCCTCGATAGGTCCCAGGAGCTGTTTAATATGAAGTGCTTCAGTGGTGCTCTGCGGGAACGGTCTGCCTAAAACCCATTTTATTCGCTTATGGACTATAGAATTGATGAGAAACGTAGCATTCCTTTACTTGCAACATGATCATGTCCATCCCGATCGGTGCTGAGACTGACATCCTCCCAACTACTCGCAAGCTCAAGCTGCTCCTTGCACTTCTGCTCTATCAACCGCAGTGCATCACTTCCAAGAATGACTCTCACCGGCTCCGGCCTTCCAGCACTGGTACCCTCGACCTTGACACAATCAACGATGCGCTCTGACAGCTTGCTGATATCACCAGGGATATTCGGGCCAATATCCGAGATGAACACGTCCATCAACTCCTCGAACCCGGGGTTATAAGCATCTATAGCAGGCTTGTACTTTCCAAATCCTTCAACTGAGCCTTCGCGAGGTTGGCCGAGCTGAGACGGAAAACCACCAGGTTCGAAGATGACACAGCGGATATTGAAGCTTCGGACTTCCTTCGCTAGGCATTCAACAAAGGCGCCGAGAGCAGCTTTCGAAGCGGCATAGTGGCCCAAGAAAGGCAACGGACCCCAGCCCACGCCAGCTCCGATGAAGGCGAGGGTGCCGCTTTCTTGGGCTCTGAAGTATGGCAGAACAGCTTGAGTAACATGTAGCGTTCCAAAGAGATTGACATCGAAGACGTTACGAACAAAGTCGTCGCTACGAGACTGTCAGTATCGTTCACCAATGTCGCGTTGGGGAACCTACTCTGCCTCCTCAATACTCTTAGGTGCTGAAATGCCAGCATTGTTCAGGAGAACATCGATACGTCCCCAAACATCCCAGGCTTTCTTTACTTGCTCGTCGATCTCGGCTCGAGGTGCAGTGACATCAAGATCGAGAAGAAACACATCGTCAGACTGCAAATGCTTGAGCCGTTCCATTGCCCCTCTTCCCGTCGCGATGACCTTGTCGCCTCTCGCGGTGAGGTTCTGCACTACTGCGGCACCAAGGCCCGATGTAGTAGCTGTTACTAGCCAAACTGATTGAGGCATGTTGGACCGCTCTTGGAAGAAGTTTCGTAACGCGCAGATAATGATAGATGATACTACTTATACTAAAGAGCAGAGAGTAGTGAGCATCATGACAGCTCGCCATCGAGCAACCTGTCCAGTCAAAAGTTCGCCCCGTCTTGGGCAGGTGCACCGATACCATTCAGCCCTGAAGCCCATAAGGGATCTTGGTCCGTCTGCAAGACCCATATCGCTTGTTCATTGGGTCAGTCACGATAAATATCAGAAAAGCGCAAAGCTAGCTTATTCTGGACAAAGCGAATCTGTTCTGGAACGCTATTATCTGACAAGCATGAGTCAAAAATTAGCTCAATCTGTGATTGGACTGCATGACGACATTGTCAGGATTGCGATCCTTTGGTGTCACAACGGCAACCTTTTGAGGCTTTGCAGATGGACCTTGCAAGCAAGACTCTCGAATAACGAGCATCAAGGCATATTATCGCAAGAGTTCATTAATATTTTGGATCAATTCGGAATGCTCTAAATTAGCCAGACAGCCCATTGGTAACCTTCAGATAGCTTCATGTTCTGAGTAACAAGCAATCAGTTTATGAGGGAACCGCGCGTTCAGTCATGTGTGCAGACCATCACATCGCGATACGTACTTGTTTGGCCTCAAAAACATTGTCCGTGATTAAATGATAGCAATTCCCTGCATCATAGAGATCTGCCCGAAATATGAAAGCTGTAAAGAACACGCTAGGTATCCAGGTTTGGATCGTTGACGTCAACACCTCATACCAAGACTTTCGCCTGCTGGATTTTCGCATTAAACATATTTAAACAGAATTTTTCAAGTCTTCTTTATACAGATGAGGTTATCTAGATATCCTTGCACTTTGAGAAGCCTCGGCCAATCCGCAATGACAGTCACAACAGTCCCTGCGACGCATCCCATTGCAAGACGCGGCCCGCTCTCGCAAACAAGTACAGCAGAGTTACACCAATCCAGCGATCTCCGGTACCAACGTCGCGAGGCTCATATTCCAAAGGGGTCAAATGAAGAAGAAAAGCTCTACATCCTGACACTTCTTACCGACAAGCGACACCATGATGAGATGAGTGCGCTGCGAAGACAGTGGTTTCCTCCAAAGTTGCTCAAGGTGGACGCTCATATCACTCTGTTCCACGCGTTACCTGGCTCCAAACTGTCAGAAGTCAAGTCAGATATTGCAGACATCGCAGCTCGGTCAGCGAAATTCTCAATCGGTGTAGGAAATCAAGACGTTTACGAAATGGGCAAGGGCGTTGGCATCAAGATCTATGCTGGTCAAAAGAGAGCTTTAAGCATACGCAGTGAATTGAGGGACAAATGGGAGCCTTTTCTCAGCGATCAAGATAGACGAGAGAAATGGAGAGGTCACTACACTGTCATGAACAAGCAGGATGATAAGGAAGAGGTACAGAAGTGCCTGGACTATTTAAAGGAGGGGCATGCAGAGAGCAAGGGCACTGTTGAAGGACTGAGTCTGTGGCTGTATGATAGAGGTTGGTGGAGGGAAGACGAGGTATTTAAATTCTCAAAAGAAGCATAAAGATAGACTTTAGAATATAGGATTGAATCGAGTTTTGGGCGAAGTCGCATCTGAATTGTCAGCTGGTCAGGACCGCGACGGACGCGCGCCGAGATGGTACAACCACCACGACACAACAACGCGAAAATTGTCGCAATTGTTTCTATTGAGCAAAAAAAGCAAGAAGATGGCAAAAAGACCAAAAAACATCGACAACGGCAGGATTCGAACCTACGCGTGCGAACACAATGCCTATGATGTCTCAGAAGAGATAGCAGGGCATCGCCTTAACCACTCGGCCACGTTGTCTTGGTAGGGATGCTAAAATTATGGTCTATATAGGCAGCGGGGAATCACGCCGACGATGCAAAGGTCAATTGTCCATGCTGAACAATCTCACAATATTGAGGGGAGTAAATGAGAGGTCGATTGGGTTTGTTGCCAAGTTGAATAGTCGAAACTCATCGTTTCCCACCGAAGGGCAAACGACAAACTTTGTGGTTGTTTGGTACAGGAGCAAGCGCTTCAACTCAACCATTACAATTAAAGACAAGAGACAGAATGAATGACAGGACAAAATAACAAGCAGACAGTGAAATTATTCTGCAGCAATCCAAAGACTAAAATTAAGAAGCTGGACTTATAGCAGGCATTGAACAGAGCCAATTCTTGCAAGTAACAAAACTTGGATGTCTGAACAATAATTGCCAATTACAGGGTAGCCACGCAAATGGTGAAAAAATTTCTTCAGGTCAAAGCTTATCAGATAAGAGCCAAAGTGGCGTGTTACTGAAGTTTGTCTATTAGCACAAAACATCTAACCAAGCTTCATGCCGACTCGCGACCATTACATTGCAGGTGATCTAATGCAACCAAAAAGGGATCAATTGATCTGAGCAAATGTAAAAAAGAGAAATATGCCTGTATTCACAGGCGGCTGGAACTCTCCCGCCGGGAATTGAACCCGGGTCTCAAGCGTGACAAGCTTGCATACTGACCACTATACTACGGAAGATGATGACTGTGAGCAGTCACTGTAGCGGAGTTCGATGTCACGTGGAGTCGTGATTATGCTTATGAAGGCTGGGTGCTCAAGGTCTTGTTACTGTGGACATTGTCGAAGCCTCTGATGAACTTTGTTTGTTTGCCAAGCCTCAAGTGCGGGCTGCATTTCTCTTGTACCAATATTCATGGGTACGTTGGAAGAAATGATTTGGTTAGCGAGCAATGCGTTATGCGGCCGGGTTGCCAGCAGGTTCAACAAATGCCGATGAGCTCTGGACCACGGAATATTATGGTTGATTGCCGTGTTTTGTCTACATTATTTCCATCGGGCCATAAGATTACAAAGTTGGCCAGCCTTCGAATTGATGTAACTCTGCGGGGTTCTCGCTGTTTCAGACACCTGCAGCTTGACGTGAGCTCACATCTCAGCTCACTGCCGTAAACTCTCACGATTCAGTCAGCCATTTGCTTATTGTTACTCAAGGCTATGCCCTCAAGACCCAAAATAGCGACCAATATTGGAAATACTTTACGTGTTATGCATGACGCAGCCGTTCCCCGACCGCCTGATTACAGAGAGGTCCCCATTTTTGGGCCTCTTGGTGCGCTGTTACTGCATCGTACGCATAAACACAGAAGCCTCCGCCACTGATTTACGATTCGCTGTAGTTGCACCCGATCCCTGCTTGTGCCACGAATCAGCAGCACTGATCAACAGGACCAATTCTTGGCTCTGGAGGATTTGAGATGCACGGTTGATCATCATCTCGGAGGTTGGGATTTGTGATTCATAAATATGCTTAATTCTTCCCACCGGTTCCGAGCTCCAGTCTGTTTGCATTCCAGAGCCAACCTCAATCAACTCTACCTTACGTCGAATACCTGCAAGCAAAATGCCTTTCCTCGCCAACACATTCACTGCGCTGACTTGCCTTTTGGCTGTCGCTGGCGCTGTACCTACAGCACTACCCGGCGCAAGTGGCAACTGCCCCTCCACTGGAAAAGCAACCCGTCAGGAGCCTTCAGCCCTGTACAGCGTATTCCCCGGCTCGCCCGACGTCGCGAAAAAGTCCGTCGGCTTCAACGTCGCGACGTACAACAACGCATCCCAGATCGAACAGCTCCTCGTCTTCACGGGCATCCCCGCCGAAGCTAAGAAGTGCACTCTTGGATGGGCGCAGGGCGAGCAGCCTGAGCGTCTCTTCATCGTAAAGGGTGGAGATGCCTTGACCGAGTTCAAGCAGCTCTCTGGCTTCCCCAGCAAGGGCGTCACCTACAATACCGCGAAGGAGTTTGACACGGCTGGGGAGTCTGTCGGTGCTGCTGATTTCACCAACTGGGATGACTTGCCTGCCCAGACCCATATTGTTGGTAACATTGACTGCAAGAGCACCGTCTACCTCAAGGCCGCGCTGCGAAACCCCAACGGCAACACAAAGGTGTTCCTCGAGCAGAGCGATAAGAATGGTGTGTATATCGAGTACAGCTGCTAAACGGATCATTGGATTAGCATTGGATTGGAGACATTATGAACATTTCACTTCTCAATAATACTTTTAGGGATACGGGGTTTTATTTGCATGGAAATTGGACACGGGCATTTGGTGGCGAGAGATTAGACGACGGCTCACTGAAGCCTATGACATGTTACGACACACAAACTCGACTAGATAGACTTAATCAATTGGAAAGACTCAGATATCAAATAAGATTTCCTTTTCCAATCGCTCGTTGGTCTGGGGCCACCCGCCCGCCGTTGTGACAGGAACGTGTTTAGCGTGTCGCTCCACGCGAGTCGAGGCCTACCAGCAGCACGCGCTGGTCTACCAGTGAACGATGTCAACGCGCTCCAAAGCAGGTCTGATCCGATGACAATACAGCACCTGATAGAGCTGCGATGGTTCGGCTTGTCGCTCTATCACAGTCTTCCAGCAAGTGTCCTGTAGCTCTGCTTCATAGAAACAAGAACCCATTGTCCAATTTTGGAGAGTCGCGGATGGTGGCCAAAGACTTCAATTAACGTTTCTGGGCCATTACCTTTCAACATATCAATTGGCGGAACCAAACCATCAACGTTTGTGTCAAAGCTTGTATTTTGCTAAGTTCTGTAAGGTGGTAGAGGCTCTTTCTCACACATCTCAACTTCAAATAACACATCTGGGTTGTATTTTACCTCACTTTGCTTTTGCTCTATTTTCAGCGTAGGCAGAATTGACCATACATATGTACAACGAGGCTGAATGCTAGCCACAAGGTTAAACTTTAGCCTGCAGACACAAATAATGAGGATGCGACATTCTTTTTCACCATAAAAACTTCTACCCCAAAAAATCATACGATGTTTCAATTGAGTCAGTGACAAGGAAGCGTTGCCTCATCGGGCTCTGAGGCACCATTCACGCACCCGGAAATATCGACATTGCAACACTGCCAAACTCTCGCCCCAACTTCCCCAACTTTGTCCTGACATCGGGCCCGTGGGCTCCTCCATCACAAGTTATTCCCTATTGCCAGTGACAGCCACTGGCGACATCTTAATTTACAACCAACCTCCTCCTTTTACCCCCGGCTAAAGCCAGACGGTCTAGACTAGAGGGACGGGATCATCTTGGCTATTTCCGGGATTGCCTAGAAACGAGCGGTGGACCAAAAAGGGATAGAAGCGAGATACTTTCTCCACTGATTTTCTTACCTGGAATGTTGCCATTGGTTGTTCTATTTCAGATTTAGGGGTGACTTTTCTGTTTCTCGCGATTTTAACTCAGGGTCTTGCAAGAACATCCATCAGCTGAGGACCCTGGATTTGCGATTCAAGCTTTGGTCCCCGATCTGAGCGCTACGATTAACTCTCAACCTGTTGCTACAAAGCAGCACACTGAGATATCCTCTGTTTCAGCCATTTGCCACACAGCCAACATGGAGGACACCATCGTCTTCCATCCTCAGCTGACGAAAGCTGATGCGCTGATCCTCGAAGGTCTCCGCCAAGACATAAAGGATTCATCATCTAGCAATCCCGAGGCGTCAACCTCAACACCCACCGGTTCGTATCACCCGCATATCTCTTAACACACAGCCAATTGACATCTCAGCAGCCCGCGATGAAGAACTGCTTCGTCATCTTCAGGCAATGAACGATCCCAAAGATGCGCACTTTGAACCAAGCGTCACGACCAATTGGGACATTGATCAAATCAAGCTACCACTATTCCTGGAGAAGGCCGTGCTGAGGCCTTACATACGCCTCGCGCGATCTATTGTGAGGGTTGAGACTGATGTCATTATGCTTACGCATCTGCTTCTCTACTTCTCAACCACGATTCCCAGTGCCATCTTTTTGTTCACGAATTTCACGTGGATTCATGGCGTTCTTCACTTTATTATGCAGTTCTCATACATGGGAGCGTATACCTTGCTGATGCATCAGCATATTCACATGAGAGGTGTCTTGGACAAGAAATTCGCCATCTTTGACCATCTGTTTCCTTATGTCCTTGATCCTTTGATGGGGCATACTTGGAACTCTTATTTCTATCACCACGTCAAGCATCATCACGTCGAGGGCAATGGACCCAACGATCTGTCATCAACTATCCGATACCAGCGAGACAGCCTTCTTCACTTCCTTCACTACGTCGGCCGATTCTTCTTCCTCGTCTGGGCTGATCTTCCCATTTACTTCATCCGAAATGGCAAGGTTATGACTGGCTTGAAGGCTGGATTCTGGGAGTTTTCCAACTATGCTTTCCTTATCACCATGTTCAACCTACACAGAAACGCCACCATCTGTGTCTTCCTTATGCCGCTGCTTCTTCTTCGTCTCGGTTTGATGGCGGGTAACTGGGGTCAGCATGCTTTTGTTGACGACGTTGATCCCGACTCTGATTACCGATCCAGCATCACACTGATCGACGTTGCTGTTAGTTTGAACTCACATAATCACTAGAATACTCATGCTGACTATGAACAGAGCAACCGCTTCTGCTACAACGACGGTTATCACACCTCTCACCACCTCAACCCTCTTCGTCACTGGCGCGAGCACCCTGTGTCTTTCCAAAAGACAAAACACACCTATGCATCACAGCACGCCCTTGTCTTCCACGACATTGACTACATGATGGTCACTGTTCGATTGATGATGAAGGATTACAAGACTCTGGCTAGGTGCTTAGTGCCCATGGGTGAGCAGATCGCTATGACGTTGGATGAGCGTGCTGCTATGTTGGAGACCAAGACTCGTCGCTTCACAGAGGAAGAGATCCAGAAAAAGTTCAAGAAATAGTGATGCCATTGGAAGGATATCGCATTTGAAGGCGAATGGGCATGCGTTGTTGATAGAGTGCTGCATTCAACGGAGTTGATGGTTGCATATGCCAAGTCGATGGATTAAAAGTATTACCGTTAGTTGAGATACAGCAGGCAAAATATGACACCTTCTGGCCTTGTAGATTCTGTGTCTAGTAATCAGAAGACATCTTCCAGTCCAGATCTTGAATCACAGATGTCCAGCCAAGGGCTGACTCACATCGAGGAATGTCCCGTATCTTCTATTCACAGAAACCGTTTACATTGAGAAGCATTTCCTAAGATTCTATTCACTGCAAGAAGCGAGACAAGAGTTTTACACTAGTCATTGCCAAATACTCGATATATAATTGATGCCGTCAGGATTGCTCAACAGGACGTCATAAGACCATCATAGACTTTCTTCAGATTTGCCCATCAAATTCTCTAATACTACCCCGAAGTGTGAAAATTTCTTCTCGCATGTGCGACTTTACCCGCATGGTGTCTCTGATCTACGCATCGAAGCTATCAAATAAGGTTTTCAGATCCAACTTGTCGATCAAACCCAAACAACGCTCCAGTATGGCAACGCTGAAACACGTGAAGCGAAGGTCAGAAACCATCTCCGACATCGCCAAAGATGTAATACGACTTCTCAGGGAAGGGAAAGAAACTGTCGGCGTCGCCGAGTCATTGACGGGCGGGAGTATTATGGCCGCCCTCACAGCAGTCGAAGGCGCAAGTTCTGTCTGTCGCGGCGGCATTGTTTCCTACAGCACTGGCATAAAGGTCAACATACTCGGAGTTAGTCAATCTATCATCACGAAACACGGCGCTGTCAATGGGGAGGTCGCGGAACAGATGGCCGCTGGCGCTCGCAGTATCACGACGCTCGATACGCCAACGACGTGGGGACTCAGCACTACGGGCGTAGCAGGACCTGGTCCCGAGGAAGGAAAAGCACCTGGGACAGTGGTTATTGGAGTTTCGAGGGCTGGTCAGGACAGGGCGTTTGGGCCGTTTTACTTTCCGGGAGATCGGGATGCTGTCAGGAAAGCCACCGTCACCAAGGCTTTGGAACACTTGAGAGAAATTCTACGTGACCGCGATCACATGGATGAGCGGCCATGAAAATCAGCTGGAAAGTTATAGGTCATGCAAGAGCGCAACTCAGCTGGCTTCAGATCGCCGCTCACCCATGGAGCCTTTTAGACAAGACAAAACTTCTGAGAATTCGGTAGGCTCAGATGAATGACAGTATGAATAAATATCTATTCTGATCTCTAGATACGCCGTTTCTGTTGTTTTCGTTCGCTATCCCGGACGGATTGAGATCATCCATCATCATTCAACGATTCTTCGGATGGTCAATCAGCCTGCTATCATGAATCAAAAGGCTTTGGAAGGTAGTCCATAAAAAGGATATACTAGAAGTACCGTATTCAATTGTTCGAGATGGCCTTCTGGTAGCTCGACTAGCAGTAAGCTGACAGCCGGACTTTGGACAACGCAAATTGTCCGACGCTTATAGAATGGACTTAGAAGGACTTAACTTATAGAATATTTGTCATTATAAATCGCGATTAATAATGAAAACAAAAGATTTAAACCGATTTAATCTACGCGATACGTCTTTCCCAGTTAGATTGGTCCTTGATCAACATGGGAAGCGGATATAAGCACCGATGATACTTGGTTCTATCGGAGTTAAAGACCTTGGAGCTCATAGTGCAAGTCATGATTATTAAGAATGGTGACTTAATCGATTAGGAGATTCTGTATGGGGAGTTTACCTGTTGATAGGTGTATATAAGATATCGTGCCAATCGTTTGCACCGTTGTCAACACATCGCTGGCAGCTAAGCAATAAGACCATCATGCATCTCGACCTTTTCATCCTTACAGCATTGCCTGTTCTGGCGAGAGCTTTGCCAAACAGCTCATATGGAGGAAAGCCATTGAAGGTTAACACGAGCTCTGGCATCTTTTCCCCCTTCTTTGAACCATCGTACCCGAATGTGGCCGCATTTCTTGATATCCCATTCGCAGAGACTCCGGTCGGAGACCTCAGGTTCGCGCCACCTATTGCAAAGAAGTATTCTGGAGATAAAGTCATTCAGCCAACGAAACTTCCACGGGGATGTATCCAATACGTGCCTCTGTTGCTCAGAGGCACTGTTGCTGATAGCCTCGTTACTGCTGCCAACTTCCAGCGTGGAGACTACGCGAACACCACTGAAGATTGTCTGAGACTCTCTTTATTCGCACCCAAGAAATCTATCGCCGAAAGCAAAGGCGCGAAAGATGAACGGCTACCCGTCGTGATATGGGTTCATGGAGGTGGCTATATGATTGGAGGCACCAACGTCCCATATCAGCTTGCCCAACCCTGGGTTCAGCGAAGTCAGAAACACATCGTTGTACAGATCCAATACCGGCTCAATATCCTCGGGCTACCGAACGCTGCTGGCTTAGCAGAAGAAGGAGAGAATCTGAACCTTGCGCTGCTTGATCAACGTCTAGCTGTCGAATGGGTGCGCGATAACATTGCTCGATTCGGCGGGGATCCCAACCGCATCACGCTCTGGGGCGAAAGCGCAGGGGCATACGCTACAGATGGCTATCTGTTTGCCTGGACTCGTGACCCGATCATCAAGGGTGTCATAGCCGATTCTGGAAATGCCCTTGCGATTGAGGGAAGTCTGGGCGATGCCAAAAATCATAGCACCTTTTCTATCGCCGCAAAACATCTAGGTTGCGGCGACCTGTCACCGAAAAAAGAGCTGCAGTGTATGAGAGGTGTCCCGGAGGACAGGTTCAAGGAGTATCTCCAAGCAGAACTCGGCCAAGGAGGTGCTGCTGATGACGGCCTCAGCTTCTCACTCATTCCTGACAATGTCAGTGCTTTTACCAACTACACCAAAAGAATCACTGCAGGGTCATCCGAGTTCCCAGCAAGCATTCCACTTTTGATTGGAACAAACACGAATGAAGGTGCTGCTGTCATTCCTTACAACTTTCCAGGCTACGAAACAGCAACAGAGATACCGGCCAACCTCAAGCCAATTGCTAATGGGTTTGGTCTCAATCTGCAATGCACTACCCTCAAAGAGAATCGCCTGAGGTCCGAAGCAGGTGCCAGAACTTTCCAGTATCTCTATGCGGGTAACTTCACCAACATCTCCCCTGTGCCCTGGCTGGGCGCGTACCATACTGCTGAATTGCCTCTTATCTTTGGTACTCACGGCATCGAGGACCCGTCAACCAAATTCGAGCGCATGGTCAGTGAGAGAATGCAAGATCTTTACCTTAAGTTTGCCAGTGACCCTGTTCATGGCTTGGAAAAGGATGGATGGCCGGCAGCACAGGCAAAATCAGGCAGGTCGAAGCTTGTCAAGTGGGCGGGGAATGGCAAGGTTGAGCGGATCGTCAGTGCCAAGAAGTTGATCAACGAATGCACCAGGAACGGATTTGCTGTATGATTTCGTCGTCAAAAAGGAACGATATCTTGGTTGATAAGTTCTGTTTTGCCTTTTCGACCCACAGCATCTATCTCGTCTTTATGGCTTTTATTTGTCCCTTTTGTTTTCCTGCGAGGTAGATCAGGTAGTGAAACACAGCTTGCTGTATAGTTTCAATGATACACTAAGTGGTTGTTCCACCAATGGATAGGTTCTAACCGTTGACCTAGTCTCCCCTCGCCTGTAATTGTTCCGTTTTCCCAGAATACTTCGTTCGTCGTCTTGGCATTCGGGACCAAGGCGCGATACCATCACACCTTCCGCTTACTGAAGTGATCGCCAGTGACTTGTTGGTGAGGGGTCACCAGCTCGCTTCCTTTCTCTTCCTGCTTACCAAAGATGGGTGATCTTCTTCTTTGTCACGGAGAGATAAGTATTGCAGTTCAAGTACTCTAAGAAAGCTTACCTACAAGGCGCAAGATCGGTAAAAAATCACTATTAAGCTCATCAGCCTCGCGATTAGAGTTGTTTCCCTTAAAATGTTCCGCTGGGCTGGGATTCGGTCGCTTGAAGATCCTAGCAAGGATCGCAGGGTTTCATCGCTAAAATGGTCTGAGCAACATCCTGCCCAATAGTAAGCTTTAGATATGTTTCGAACAGGATAATCGGATGAAGATACTCCGTATCGTTTTACAAAAGTGGCCATGTGAGCCGGTAGATGAAACCTCGAAATGATAAGGGTCAAGTTGATCGACGGGAACAATGCAGATTATGGAAGCTGATATAGTAGCGGTATACTATAGACTGAGCTGTGAGAAGTATTTAGAGCCTTGAGCGTCGACAATTCCACGAGGCGTGCTCATCACTACGGTATTCATTCTCACGAACATTCGTCATGCGGTTCTCTACTATGTTCACTGCCCTTGTGGCATGCGTTTCCACCACTTCAGCTGCCATCAACTGGTCCCTAGAGAAGGTCTCCAACCCATCAGCCGACCAAGCAGATGCTTACAGCCGTATCGAGAACGCCATGCGTCTCGCAGCAGCACGATACAACCGCTTGGGCAGAGCCACCAAGACCATTCGTGTCTCCTACGTTCCCGGCGTTCCAACCGCCGATGCCAACTTCAATGGCAGTCTCCGCTTTGGTTCCAATCGATCTTACATGAGCGAACGCACCGCTCTACATGAGATCTCTCATACTCTTGGAATTGGTCAGACTGCGGCTTTCGATAGAAAGTGTGCTGCCAATGACTGGCGCACGGCAACTCCTCTACTTCAATCTTGGGATGGTGCTGGTGTTCGTATCAACTGTGGCGGAGGACATATTTGGCCATATGGACTTAACTACGATAATGAGTGGAGCGAGACAAATGCCAATCGACATGTTCAGCTCGTCAATGCGATGATAGCCGATGGCCTCCAGGGCTAAAATCGTCTTTCCCAGGGGCAATTTTTGGGCCTCATCGGCTGACAAGCATCAATGGATACGGATGAGATAGGACTTTGTTTGCAGTTTACTTCAACTTCACAAGAATATATTACATTGAGCTTCTATGGTGGCCCTACAAGAATGCAAAGAGCATGAAGAAAACCCTTTCTGACAACATCTGTATAGTTATGAGTCCTATAATGGCCAAAGAAATTCCGTAGCCGCGTTATCCCCATGCTGAACAACCTATCAAGAAGTCTCTTCACTAGAGACATACTCCGATGACTGTAATTTCCCCCCCGAGAACACTCCGTTGTATGGCCCTTTGAAACAAAAAGGGTGCTCCTTAGTAGCTCGTAGCGTTACTCGAATTCGCATCTCAGTTCCCTGCATGTTCGCGCCAAATCCTATGCATGGATAGAACTTTCCCTTCAAAAAGCTGTGATTCTCAAGCGCATCACCTAGTTTTGGTCAGAATTGCTTCTCCGGTCCTTCTAATGATGCAGACTTACCAGAATCAAGGAGGAATCCGTTCTTAGTGCGATACCCTTTACCAGTTTCCAAGTTCATACCACAGCCTACAACCTCGCCTACATCGAAAGCCTGGTCACTTTCCCGGCTTGTGGACCATCCTCCCTCCACAGAAAATCCTCCATTATCTCCATGGTAGGCCCGAGATCCTTTATGCCAGCCAGGCAGCAATCTCTGAGGAACAGACGCCTGACAGAAGCCAAAGACACAGGGTCTTGATTCAAAAATCAGCACAATGTAAAGCAAAGTGATCAGAATAGACGAAGTGGATATACGGTAATTACTTACGTCGTATTGTTGTTATGGAGGACTTCTATTTCATAGTAAAAGAATTTCGAGTCGGGAGGAATTGCTTCTTGAGTGCGTAGATAACAACCCATGCCCTCTGCTGTTGGGGGCGCAATCACCTCTAGTTCAAGATATATATCAGTAACAGATCATAGTGCAGCAGAGAAACCACGAACCTAAAACGAAGGACAGGGATGGCTCCTTTGCAGGTGATGCCGTAAGCTCTGGCCCATCATAAACATTAATAAATGTTGATGGGTGACGGTACTTATGCATAGCCAGATCTCTATCGGGATAGTCTTTGCGAAGAAACTCTTCAAGTTCCTTATGATGGTACCTGGCAGCGATACCGGCGGGTGGCCAGTTGTCTTCGTCCAGTTCATGAACGTTGATGCCACTATGGAGAAGCGATTTGATCATCTCTTGTCGACCAGCTTCAGCCAGTTTATGAATACCTTAGGAAACAGCACCTTTAGTTTAGGGTCAAGGATACCGCGCTCCCATTCGTCCCAGAGTTCGACGTTGCCGACCAAACTCGCATGCTTCTGGATGATACTTTCCCAGCCTTCCATGAAGAACACTGTGGATTTCGTGTGATGATGTAACAACAACGTGGTGAGGCATCTCTGATCCGACAACTCGAAAGCGAACTGTAAAAGATTGAGACCAATAAACTTGGTCGCACCCAACCCACGTATGATCCTGGGGTCATCAAGCAAAAGCTCCAGAATGTCGTGGTTCTTTTCAAGCAGCGTATGGTGAAGCGGTGTTGCGTTTCCATATCTGGTTGCTTGTTTGTTGAGGTCGAGCTTGTCTTCAAGTTGGATTAAGTTCCTAGTCTCGAGCAACATCTTGACGACCTCGGGCTTGTTCTCTTCACACGCCCATGCCAGGGGTGACTGACCAAGTACTGCATCACCTTGGTTGAGATCAATCCTACTATCCTGCTGTCCAGCCATCAGAATCGCTTTTGAAATGAAGTTGACTGGCCCGCCACGCCGACAAGCTCTCGTAAATGGGGAGAAAGACTCCTCGTCACTTATGGTTTGAGGGTCAGCGTTATTCTCTACTAGAAAGATACAAGCATCTCCCTCGTTTCGCATAACAACTAAAAACAATGCTGTATGGCCATCTTCATTTTGGTCCCTTATGCAAGCAGGTGACCTCTTTGATAGCTTCTCTGCGATTTCTTCTCTCCAGGTGGATGTTGCTTCACCATGTTGCGGCAAAAGCCCAACTAAATAATGAAGGGCATTATTTCCTTGGTCATCTTTCGAATCCGGGTTGGCTCCCTTGTCCATGAAAATAGACACTATCGAGCTCTTGGAGTTTTGACATGCAAGATGTAATGGCGTACAGCCCTGTTTATCCTCGATGTCGATTTCTTTCATGGCTGACACAAGCCACCTGACGATCGTTTCCCGCTCTCCGTCGTTGTAGTTTTTGCACTCAATGGCATAGTGCAATGGAGACTTCCCGTACTTATCCTTATCTTCTGCAGCTTTCCTTTGGATTTTGAGCATGGAGCAGACCATATTCGCTTCGCCACGGGAGCAAGCAAACATCAACGGAGACTGATCTCCAGTGTTATTGACGCCTGGGTCCGCGCCAATCATCAATAAGCGATGGAAAGTTTGTTTCCTCTTTAGCGTGTGAATGGAGTCTCATTGAGCTACCTGAGCTTAATCTAGGGTTACCTCTTTAGCTTGATTGCCAGATGTAGAGGAGTCTCGCCACAATTATTGCTGGCGTTGATGGCTGACCGATGCTGGTCCTCCAAAATATCTATCACCTCTTCATCACAAAACTTGACCCCATAGTGCCAAACAGACTGGCCTTCGTTGTCTTTGTCCCCGAAGAGTCTTGAGTGAACCTTAAGAAATTGGCTCCCAATTGATCTTTGTTCCTCCTCTTCTTCGTCAAGATACGAGAATAGAGATCTTCCATGGACATCGAGAGTGTATGGGTTGAACACGAGCTTTTCGTCACAAATAAGCTCGTTACAGCAGTCGTATCTGCCTTTGCATATGGAAAGATGAAATGGGCTCCGTTTCCAAGCGTCGGACGGCATTTCAAGTTCCTGTAGCCGTTTGATGACGGCAATGCATTTTGCGTGACCTTCCTGCACTGCAAGGTGCACGGGAGTCATTCCGTCCAAACCTTTCGCTTCCAAGCTAGCTCTCGCATCTTTTGTCGACAAGTTCTTTAAGAGTCTCTCCAAGAATCTCTGATTTCCTGTCAAGCAAGCCACGTGAATTGGGCTTCTGCCAATATTGTCGAACCACCATGTCTGTGGGTGGCTCTGTCGTAGAAGGGCTTTGAGACAACCAGGAAGTTGATTGCTACGTAAGATGGGATGCTGGCGCTCTTCGAGGACGATAAATTCAGTGCAAGAAGCAGCATAATGTAGAGCTGTCCAGCCAAATACATCTCGCTTCTTCCAATCTTTCCCTGGGTTCTAGTAAGTACGAAAGTTACACGTTTTCTTATGAGACAGAATCTATTACCTTCAATCAGCCACAAATTAATAGGAGCCATAATGGAAGCCTGGTTATGGAGAGACGTGAACCTGATTTGTTTCATAAAGCCTTCCTTCTCATTTCCAAAGCCAGGTGGCCATGTCTCTGTCTCTCCACAGCGTCTCCCAAGGTCACAGAAGTAGTCTTTCCGTCCTTGAAGTTCGTAAAACTTCAGGAGTCTCCTGACTACGTCTGGATAGAGTTGAGAAATGTAATCCAAAAGAATTTGATAATCACCAGAAGATTGTCGGCTTGGAGACTTAGTTTTCCCACCAAAGTCATTGGACTTGGACTCGGAGACTTTATCATCTTCTTGATACAAAATCTTGCCATATGCCATGTTCTCATCATCGAGAATCATAAGGTAGATGTAGTCTAGTGCGCGGACTACTGCAGCCAAAGAGAGGTAGTCGTCGAAACTGCACTTAGATTCCTTGGTCATGAACTTGAGGAGAGCCAAGTAAGCTGGTGCATCCTTCACCCATGTGCTTCGCCCACGCAAGCCAGGCAAGTCAAGTTTCAACACGGCGTCGTTGGGGAGAACATCTTTGAGACTGAAGATGGGAATGAGACACAGAAGTATGTCATCGAGCACTCCGAGACCTTCTTTTTCAGCATGAAGCGCGAATCTGGTCAGTTTAGTTTGACTCAGCTTCCGACCTGTACCAAGTTTGGTAGATTCTAGGTCTAATGGTTTAGGTGGCTGGATGCTGACGGATTCATGGATGCTTATGGAGCCTTGGTAGAGAAAGTCTTTCGGTAGCTGATCCAGATCAACAATGGTCCAGAGGAAACAAGTGAAGAGGTGATGGGCAGCAATGGTGGCTAGACCAGCTGTAGAGTGCTGCACAAGTAACTTGTGCCTGGTATCAGGCTTGAGCGGCCCCATAAAGCCAATAACCATCTTGACATCATCGCGTGCGGGATCCTTGCAATGATATGAAGCCTCACAAGTTCTATGCGTGGAGCCAGTTGTTTCATCCTCCATTCTCTTGTCCATGGCGACCTCTGTCACAGCGGGATTGCCCACCCACCACTTGATGTCTCGCTTCAAGACGCCGCGTTGGTCACTTGGTCCGAGGATCCTGCAGTAGTTAACTCCCAAGGCTACACCAGCTTTGGATCTTTGCCAGTCAGCCTTTTCTTTGTCTTTCGTTTTCGCCACTTTGGTCGCGTCTAGGTGGGCCATCCATAGTGACAAGATGGCCTCAACTTCGCCGCCTTTGATCTGCCAGCCACGGGAGCCTTTCTTTGGGACTGCAAGTGCCACAACAGAAGGGTTGTCCTCCGAGTCTCTCATAGGAACTTTCCATTATATCAGGTTCTGGTCTGATGCAGTTGGCATAAACTCGTCCAGAAATCGCTCAATGGAACGAGCTAATGCCAGAGCTGGTTTGAATGCCTCCGTCTCCCATCGGACAAGATCCCCTAGTCGCTTTCGAACGAGCATGTTCCGCTGAGCCTCGTTCGACTGACTGGACTGTGAAGATGCAGAATCCTCCTTACTCAAACTAGAGACACTTGGATTTAGACAGTTTCCAATACGGAATGAGTATATGCTTTGTAGTCGATGCTTTGCGGTATCGACTCTCCATGTCCATTCTTTTTGTGAGGGCTTCAGTGGCTGATTAGGCGGACGCGGGCTCGGGGAGTCGACGAGTTGAGTAGCGAGGAAGTCTAGTCTAGCTCATACCGTGAAGGTGCAGAGCAATAGTCCGGATCGTCTCCGAGCCTTCGACGAACTAGGGCTCTGATGATAGCCATGACGATAATAGCACCGAGCTGAGCAACAGCACAAGGCCATGGTAGTCCCATGAGGCCAATGAACTGAACTGTGAAACCGGCGCCACCAGCAAATATCGCGGTTACTGCCAGAAAGTCTGACTCCAATCTCCTATCTTCCTCAGACCTGGCTGATTTGTTCTCTTGTGGGCCCTATTCTGATCGGGTGTCATCAATCTGGTCGTTTTTATTTTGCTTGCGCCCTTTATTTCCTTTGTTGCTCTTTCCTGACAGGACATCTTCTCGTCGACTAGAAGTTGATATAAATTGCTTATTTCGGGAAGAGATCACATAGGAATCGAAGTCCTGGTCACTGACGCGCTGCATCCGTTGTACCCAAAACAAATCAATGGATTGAGTTCGGACTTCAGAGGAAGCTTGCGTCTCATTATCGATACCTGAGCTCGGCCGCCATTTGAACTCCTTGGTGCTTCTTTCAATGGCAATAGGACATGCAAGCATGCCAATGAAAAGAAGGACTGAGCCGCCAATGTAGCAGGGAAGTCCCCAAGGCTGAGACTCGTAGTCCTGAGCGCGGTACGGGACGACAGCAGCTATAACAAGAAGGGAAGCTTGAAGAATAACTGCAATGAGGGCGGCTAAGTGGAGTTTAATACTTCTCTTTTTTGGCGATATCTTTTCGGTTGCAATGTTCAGCTGTAGATTAGGGTACTTTAGTGAGTCCCAATACTTGGGAAATCTATCGTTCTTTTGCAACGGGGTTGCTCTTTCGATTCTTGAGATGGATGGGACAAATTCGTCTTCTGCTTGCTCGAAATCCTTTTTGCGAGTCTCCGTGCGCTTGAATGACTTCAACCAAGTTTGTGCTGCTAGATCTAATTCATCGCAATAGCCTAGCTTTCATGTTGACATGTAGTGGGAGAAACGCAAGTTTCACGCCATACCTTCCTTGTATAGAATGCCTTCTTGAGATGCGGACTTGAGGGTATGTATGCCATATGATTGATTCTGCGCACCCTTCTTCTCCTTCAGGAGTTCGTCAGGGAATACGATAAACTGAGCAATCTCGGGCTGTCCCATTGTTCGCACTATGCCCCTTCCATTGAACAGTTCACCAACTTCGGCTGAAGTGGAAGACATGTATTCAATCTCCGCAGCTGCTTTATTCTCACGAGCACGACCGATGACGCTTTGAGAAACTTGTGACCTTGTACCCGAATGGCACCGGCAATTGCTGTCATGATACCCAACGGAGCGCACGCGAAGATAACATGATCGTTCCAGGTAAAAGTCTCACTCAGGAATTGGCGAGCAAATTGCTCGCCGAACAATGCGAGGACGCTAATTAGAGTGAGTCCTCGTCGTCTAACATCCAGAATAACAAGCAAGCAAAATATCCAGTTTGGTGACCTACGGGCCCAGGTCGGAGAAAACATTCATAAGAAAATCGGTATCATTGTCGTCGGCAAGTATCTCTACCGCCACTACCCATACCTGTCCTGTTATGCAGTTGGCGACTGAGAATTGCCCAGCATGAACATGCTTGCAGTGGCTGAAAAGCAGGCTCTGATAATGAGTGCTGTCAGTGGCTAGTCTCCCAGGTTGTCTGCCTGTTGCTGACGGACTGCTTATGCCCCCAAGGTCATTATTGGTGAAGGTGTAGAGCGTGATGCGTGAATTAATACCCACGAATAATAATGTGCTTCGACTTGTTGGACCTTCGGAGTAACCAAGGCCGAATCTTATCTGGCTGCTGTGATAACGTGACGTGTGGTATGCTATCTTGCGAAGGAGATAATGAGATGGTGATCGTATAGCAAAATACTAGCGTAGGGAAAACTTGCCTGGTGTTGGCTGGTCTATGATGAAGTTGGAGGTCATCGGCATACTAGGTTCTCTCTGCCGGAATGGGCTCACATACTTTAAATATGGGGTCATACTCTGTAGATTGATAAGAAATGTCAATTTAGCGAGATTAGATGGATCAAAATAAGCTTCTTTTTCGCGACTACGATTAGTTTTAGATGTGGAGTTCGTTGCGCCATATTTTCATCGTGAAATTTTTATTGACTCAAGGCAATTTCTGGGCTGTATCTGACGCGCCCGATGACTTTATCACCCAAAATACGACATGTCCAACATCACCATCCATCCAGCGACGCATGATGAGATCACCGCCATCGTGAACTTCATAACGAAGGCCCGAGCGGACATGTTCCCGTTCCTCGACCAAACATCCAGCGATCAGATGGCCCTGAAAGAACTCGACATTTTCAAGGACAGATATCTTGACCATCCCCAAGGCGCGTTTTTAACAGTTTGTTCCGAAGGGCGCCTGATTGCGACAATTGGCTACGTTGCTTATGATGGGCGCTTCTCACATTTGTCTCTCGAACCTGAGAATGTCGTCGAGGTACTCAGGTTATACGTCGAGCCTGAATGGCGTCGTGCAGGGATAGCTTCCAAGCTCTTTGACACGCTAGTCGAGACAGCTCGGCAATCTGGCGTCGAGCAGCTTTACCTGCACACGCATCCCTTCCTACCGAATGCCATCGACTTTTGGAAAGGAAAAGGGTTCTCGGTTATCACCGTAGATGAAGACCCAGTCTGGCAAACGACGCATATGAAACGGTCGCTCTAGCAGTGAAGTCAGTCACGGTAATGAGCTGTCTTTCGTGCATGGTATCTCGGATAATGCTAACCGCGTATTTCTGTTACCAGGTTCTTGCGCCAGACGTGGAGATCAGAGCATCAATTAGCGGGGTTTGGTTCATGACCTGCATATGCAGGGAGAGCAAGTTCACCACGATCGGGGCTGAGTAGAACTGCCAGAGACACTTCTCGAAAATTCTTTCACCTACTAGACATCAGCGCGAGCAAAATTAATCGGATGTGGTTCAATCTCTCGGTTTGTCACAGGAAGGTTCAGTAGATGAGTATTGCAGGGTATTTGTATTCGTGTCTAACGTTAAACGTCGATGTGCCTCCGGCTCATATCAATTACAATACATCATTTCTCGTTGTTCCATCCATCCCAGTGCCATAGAGGAGCACTTAGTATCGGGTACCACCGTAGCCCTGCTGGCCATATCCGCCTTGACCTCCGTATCCGCCCTGGCCTCCGTAGCTCTGGCCACCGCCATAGCCCTGATCTCGGCCACCATATCCGCCTCCACCATATGAGCTGGAGCCTCCATGAGAACCACCTCCATGTCCATGTCGGGAAGAGTTGTCATACTGAGACTTTCCGTAGGCCAAGTCATCGTCCTTTCGTCGACGTCGCTCATCACCAGAGTCGGAGTCACTGCTGCTGGTCGAGTCGCCAGTGAATGCTCGGGGGCGTCCGTCGCGGTGATGCTTCCTGTTCTTCTCCTTCTTGTGCTTCTTGAACTTGTGCTCGAGGAAGTTTGCGCCAATGGCACCAGCAGCGGCACTGGCTAGACTGCCGAGAAGACCGCTACCAGCTGTGTGAGCGGCCCAGCCGGCTGCACCACCTCCTGCAAGTGTAGCACCCAGTCCACGCTCTCCGTCCGGACCTCCGGGGCCACCCGGACCGCCGGGACCACCTGCACCGTCGGGGAATTGGCCAGGTCCGCTGCCGTATTGTCCGCCTTGGTGTTGGCCGTACGATTGATCACGGTTGTCGTAGCTGGGCTGGTTGGAGCCGTAGTTGGATCCTTGAGAGTATTGTTGCTGTTGAAGCTCTGTTAGTAATTGGAGCTGGAGCTCGGAGCTTGGTGCATAGCTTACCTGTTGAGGATAACCCTGTTGTTGTTGGCCATAGCCTTGTTGTTGTCCGTAGCCACCACCTTGCTGTTGCTGCTGGCCGTAGCCACCTCCACCACCACTATAGTAATCTTGAGCTGACATGTTGTTGTGTGTTGTTTATGTGTATTCGTGAAGTTGAACTGCAATTCTAGCTTTCGAGCAGTGATGTAAAGTGAGGGGTCAAGCTCTACTTAAGTAGACACTTGTCGTCATCAAGCCATTCAGCTCCAACAAGGTTTAATGATCTTGGCTGATGTGATCTCACTCTGGGCAAAGGTGGCGCAGTTGCCCGAACCAACATGTTTGCGGCGCGGGTCTCGGCACTCCCGGTCACTTGGCAGCCGGATGCATCGGCATGCTGTGGCTCGGCGTTCGGACATGCACCAAATGACCCCGGGGCTGAGCCACTGACCATCGGAATCGCCGAATCATGTTTGTCATGACGAGCATATGCCCTGTGGCTGGTGATCTACTTGGCATTACCTTGGGGACGCGTAAGATGACCCTCAAGGCCAAGACTCTAAAATTCACTCATTGCTTAGCGTTGAGCGCTGAGATTTACCATTATCAGAAGACGAGACTATAAATAACATTGTGTCTCGAGCGGAATATGATGGTATTTCAGTATAGTCGCCGAAATTGATAAGATCATCTGATATGCTGTTCACGTGCTGCGACTGAGCCTCCGAGTGAAGCAATCACGAAACCTTTATATCCCGTGACCCACCATGTCATGTCGCCATCGAATACGAGGAGTCATAAATAATCATGCATGATTCTGTTCTTCGTGAAACCCGTGGAACAGTATGGCTCCAAAGTGAAGATAATGGAAAGGTAATGCTAGTTTGATGAGCAAGCATACCAGTGTGACGCAGCCAGAGATGGTTTCTCATCTGTTGGGGGGGAATTTCTCGTCCGTTATGATCACGACGGCGGTCTGCTTTCATCCATCGACAGCATCGCCCACTTCTCAATCAAGGTGCCCAGGTTCCATATCGAGCATTCCTGGTCGTCTTCATCAGAAGTGAGGACTTCCTTGACCTCTCCCCGGGGAGGCAAGGCAAAGCTCACTGGCAGGTCCTTCTCAACCGTTTCTTGAGTCCATCCTTCGAGATGCTGACGTGCAGGTTCCGGAATGGACTTGTCCATAGCCCAGACGAACGCTTGAGTTGCTTGTAGGAGAACTCCGCTGATTCTAACGCTGCCAGAAGATAACTGCGCCATCCGACAACTTTTCGTAAATATATCTTGTGCCGCGGCGACATCGAGTATGGGGACCAGTGTTTGCATCGATATGTACAGTTGATGTGCTATCATTAGGTTCGTAGGCCACTTCTTGATAAATGACCCAATGATCTCGGTATCGTGACGACAGTGTTGAATGCATAGGTCCTTGACTGTCGAGCTGTACGGGACACCGAATGGTATGTCGATAGGCATGTCCTGAAGCAGTGTGTATAGAATTAGGTTCTCATCTATTCTATAGTCATGTCAGTAAATGATAATTCAACTAACTATGTCTTTACCTTAAGAAACACGTCACTGGTGTAAGGTTCTGCTCCACGACCAACTGCCGAGGTATGTCATGTTTCAGTTGTATGAGGCGAGAAAAGAACAGCCGTCTAGCATGAATATCCTCTTCACTTCCGCGTCTGAATCTAGAGGTTGTGAGATACTGCATGATCTCATAGAGAAGTTCGGAAAATGAGCATGCAGCTGCCAGCACTCCAGGTGGTCGAGGAACAAGATCAGAGGAATCTTTCCAAGGCCTGTCAAGAACATCCAAATTTCCTTTATGGGTGAACGTCAGGATAGAGAGGAAGGGCTTGGGGACTTGAGGTGGGGGAATAGTAGAGGGCCTGTTGTAGAAATAAGCTATCCGGCTAAACGCTCACAGTCAATACAACGTCTTATGATTGGATTAGCTCGTTCCCACCTCTCTAAAAGAAATATTCCCCAAAGCGTCTTAGATGTCAGCATCATATCGTGAGTTTGAGGCGGAACGTTGTTCTTTGCTGCCTTATACCTTGCCTCCAAACGGAGTTGCTTGAGCATCTCATAGGCTGTGAGGCGATAGATCAGACCCGCTCTGTCTTTCCCCGTGGCTGCCATAGTAAGATATATCAGAAGTAGTCCTTGGACAGCTGGTATCGATGGCCGGCCTTGTTCAGCCTCAAAATGACTCTTGGCCTCGGCAAGGAAGGACTCGGAGAGGTTGCGGCCTGTCATCACACCAAATTGTTTTCCTCGTTCAACCATCAGCTACACTTGCTTAGTTATGGTTCGAGAAAGTCGGCTGGCTACTTACACATCTCTTAGCGCAAATAGCGTTTACCAGCAAGGGTGAACACCATTTCACTTCTCTATCATCTCCTGCTCTCATTTCATCCACAAACGTGATCCTATCGAGGACGGGAAACATGTAGGAATTATCCCAAGTGAAGAAGTCCGTTATTAGCTCCGAGACAATTCCATCTCCAGCAACTGTTGTCCATGGCTTGGCAGGAACTTGAATAACACTCGATTCGAACGCTTTCTGGTCAAAAAATGCCAGACTGGGATCAGAATCCCATGTATTCGTCGATGGCTTCGGGAGTAGAGCTTCGGCTTGTTTCAAAGACTCAAGGACAGCAAGGGGCTGATCCGAACTTCTCAGTCGGTTGAAAATCTCCTGCGCCTCGCACTCAGGCTTCTTATTTATGGCGTCAAATAGCTCTCGATACTGCTGATTCTCGACTAGCAAAAGGTCGTACTTTTTCTGCACAGCGACGGGTACTGATGGCGTTTCGTACGAGCATGCCTCGCTTTTGGAGAAGCAACGGCTGCAGGTTGGCTTTCTGCCGTCACACTACATAAAACACCTCATTAGTATTGCTTACCCCTCTTCGACCAGAGAGAAGCCTCGTACTTTCGCTTTCTTTCGTCGGCACCCCTCGCAAGCCACGGCGACCAAGACTCTCTTCCGTAACCTGTGCGGTGGTGATGAAGGGCCAGGCGACTGGTCTTCCCCATAGATGTACCCTGAGGTCTGCTGAGCGGGTAGGATCGGGACCAGCCTCCTTGCCTCCTGGGGATCCATTGCCAAAGACCCTTTCAGCTGGATCGAACGATGGAATAATCTGAATGGGACATAGTGAGACACATGGGGATGATTGAGTGCTCCGTACTCCGATAGAGAACAAAGGGCAGCTTTTGAGTTCGGTGGGCAGAAAGGGATTCAGCCCTGGAGCGCTAAACGGAAGCAACGAGCCCACTGCATCGGTATTAAAGTCAATAACGGTCATGTCTGTGGACTGTTTTCGCTACCATGCCAATCAAGCCCAACGGAGGTATCCCGGTAATGGCATTGGTTAGAAGCAAGTTTGACAGCTAATCAAACGTCATTCTGACGTCAGGCTGCAGGGTGAAGAAAAGAATCATGCACTTTTCGGTATATTTGTATGATCCTGCTACGAGTGAACTCTCGTGTTTTTTGTTCACCATATCCTTCTAATTTCACTAATCGTAAAGTAAAACGGCACTATCATATCTCAATAATTCCTCATCCTAGTTGATCTATCCAGGATTGATACTCAAGTAAGCGTTTGTGTTGTTTATCTGGTTTGTTCAACCCACTTAAGAATGTCACTCTTCTCGGTGAGCCAGAGTCACTCCGCCCTTTTTGCATCATGGATCCTCTGATTTTCAGACCTAACACGGAACCAATGTCTTGATGCGATGAAATGACACTTCAGATGACCTTGTTCCTTTATGATGTTCATCACGCGAGCACGTCCCGCCCGGTTTAGTTGTCAGGCCACGTAATGAGCCAGCACAGCCGCCGAATCGATACAGCGCATTCTGTGAGTGGATAGGTCGATGTCGTCACTCGGGGGGAGCGCATGTGAACTTTTTTCGAGTCTTCGAGAAGGTTATATCCAGCCCTCACCGGTCGGTTCCTCGTCTCCACTGCCAACTTACAAGTCACCTGAGGAGAACCCATATGAATTGTTCAGGCGACCGACTTTTTGGATCCAGGTCGCGGGAATTGTGGTTGAAAAGAAAAAGAATCTTTGGCGTCTCGGTTCCTTGCATTTAGTACTAATAATACTGGGAAAGCTCCAGGAATTAGTGCGCGTCATCAACAATTCTGACAGCATGCCCGGTGTGGTGGACGAGGAATGCCACAATTCCCGTGTCCTTTTAATGTTATTCTACGCTAAAACCGTCCTGTGGAGCATGGGGAGGCTGGATCGATCGATCTTTTGGTTGTCATCGACATCAACACCCCAGGCATCAACCCTTCCAAGATTGGCAGGTCATGGTTCACACCGCCAGGAAGCGCATCAACTTATTTCCTTAGAAATTCTCTTTGCATCGTATAAGCTGTGTCACCTCGCATAGCAAGCAGCATGCATACCCAGGCTCTGATGCGTAGGACAGTGGGTAAGCCATGCCTATCAACAGAGGTTTTGTTATCGAGGCAGAGACATAAGAAGGGCCAGACAGGGCCCATAACCTGTTTCAGGGTTACAGAAAGGGTGTCATAAGATTTGAGGCAGGGTATTAGAGTTTGAGCCATGTATCAGGTAACAGTTTCGGGTTATATAGTGATAAGGCTGAGATCAAGATGATTTCAATCCGATGCAATCACGCTGATCTCGTCGTGTTATTTTAACACCATGCGGTCGCATTCGACAAACTGGGCTAGACCAAATGGTCGTCGACAAGGATATCTTATGACTCAGCACTCAATCGGAGAAATTAGGGGCTATCGTGGCATGTTTCAGCCCACGAAAAGTACTTTCCGATTAATTGACAGCTCATGAAGTTGCAGAAGCCTCTTGTTATATCAGATCGCCCGTCGAAAAGGGGGTCTCCGACGCGTAATGAATTTTTGACTTTGACACATTCCTTGTTAGCACCAACAGACGCCATCAGTATGGCTAGCACGCTCATCTTGGTGTTGCTTGGACTAGGCGTCTTTTTTGTGGCTCCCATCCTTTATCTTCGGCGCATCAACCGGTTGCTGAAAGAGACGCCCCATCAGGTTGGACAACTAAGGGGCAAGCCTTGGACCCCAGATTTACTGAGACAAACCTACGAAGCCCTCGAAAAATCTCCAATAAACTTTGATAGGCTATTACCTCCCAAACTTGACAGAAGATACATTGTCACGGGAGGTAATGGTAGGTCTCCTCCGTTCATCAAGTATTAGTTGGTCCTGACGAATGTGCCAGGGCTTGTTGGCGGATACATAGTTCTCCAGTTATTGGCTCGTGGGACACCGCCTAAGTGTATTCGAATTGTCGATGTCCGGGAGACTGAGCGAGATGATCTTAGGCAAGGTTTAGCCGCCCAAGTGGACTTTGTGCAGACAGACATTACCTCCAAGGCTGCCGTGGGCGATGCTTTCTCTAAGCCTTGGGATCCGAAGATAGCATCTTTACCACTCACTGTCTTCCATACAGCTGCTATCATCGTACCCGGAGCCAGGTCCAAGTATCTCTACAAGTTCACCGAAGCCGTCAATGTACAGGGAACAAAGAATGTCTTGGCTGCTTCTCGTGCAGTCGGCGCCGATATCTTCAGCTCAACATCATCAGCTTCGATATCCATCCGACCCGTCGAAGCCTTTGTAGCACCATGGGCAGAACCGAAGCATTATTGGCAGGTCATGGATACACAGGATTTCGATAAACCATTACGACAACATGAGGAATACTTTACCAACTACGCTTTTTCGAAGGCCATTGCCGAACGCCTCGTTTGTGCTGAGAATGAACCGTCTTTTCGCACAGGATGTATTCGACCTGGGAACGGTATCTATGGTCATCCCTCGGATAATCCCATCGGCAATCTTCTGGCTAGAGATGTCAATCAAACGCAAGTGTCACCTATATTTATCTACCGCTATCTCTAATGCTCTCACAGCTGGGTCCCGCACATCGTACAGAACTTCGTTCATGGCACTAACGTAGCCGTCGCGCATCTATATCATGAAGCTGCACTAGCAAAAGAAGATTGTACCCAAGCTGGTAGGCCGTTTGTGGTCACGGGCGTTGGTCCGCCAATCACTTTCGGGGACGTTTATACCGCCGTGGAAGTCTTATCTGTTCACCCTTTTCGAAATGTTATCGTACCGCCATTGGTGATTCTTTTTATGACCTATATCGTTGAATGGTTTATCTTGCTTCCTCATCGTCTCCCATTTCTTAAAGGAATGATCCCTGAGGTCAAGGGCGATCTCAGAACAGTTCAGCCCGGGCTCATCACTATATGTACGCACTTGATAGCATCTGATGCTGAGGCTAAGAAGCCTATCTCAGAGGGCGGGCTAGGGTACAAAGGACTTATCACGACACTGGAGGGGGTTATCTCGGTCATCATGGACTGGAACCAAGAACATGCAGGCGAACAGACAAGAGAAGGCAAGAAGATATATCAAGGTTCCTTACGACTGGCCGAGATATTGGAAGAGGCTAGATCAGCTGTTCCTCCCTAGAACAATTCCCTTCTTTGTAGAGTGAGCTGTCCCAGCATGAGCTCAGCTCTATAAATTGGCTTCAAGTTTTGTAGGGCAATAGTATTATCAGGTGGAATCCCACTCGGATTCTAAAGCCTGTGCAATATGCAATTGCTATTGAGTCAGAAGTATGCATCATCTCCTAACAAGGTCTTGTATGCTGATAATGATAAGGGTAGAACTTACGAAATGGTTGCAGGTTTTATGAACCCGGCGATTCTTCTGGTGTTGACTTATTCTATCACTCATAGAATAAAGCTAGAACCTTTGCCAATCTCGCACGCTATTTATGGCGCTGCATCTGAGGGCTTTCCCTCGGTGCTCAAGCGTAACAAGCTCCCTTCCTGGCAAGATAGCAGACGGCTAGGACTAAGGAAACGCCTTTAAGAGACAACAGCAGACCAAAGGCAGCTTTCGGATATGACCTTCGGTGCACCCACCGATGGCACCTAGTATGATAGACTAGACTTGCTGCCTTTTCATGGAGTAAGTAAACTTATGACATTTTATTAAGGCACTAAGAAAAATCGGTCTAAAGACCTACCAAGTTTATGAGAAGCGTGCCGAGTATATCCTAAACTTAGGATAACTTTAGGTACTAAGCTTTCTTACTCCCCGGGGTGCCTACACGCGTCAGACGGACCGATCCAAGGCAAACATGGACGAACGAGACAGAGTCATGTAATAAATCGATCTAAGCCTTTCTTGAGATTGAATTCGCCGAGGCTTGGCAATGGTGGTAATCAACGGGAATATCAGTAGTCACTCTTGGCATTGGGGAGGAGTGAACCTACTCCGCACCGATTGGACAACCAATATTTAGCCTTAAACAATTCACGATCTAAGCTTCTCCCCATATGATATTTTCGAGTTAAATGATCTATTCTTTGCCGGTTATCCGTACAGAGCTCAGACCTTTCGGCGCCGTAAAACATGGGGTTCGGCGTCGGCCACCGAAACCGAGATGCTCAACCCCGCGAATACGATGCAGATCTTGTATGTAATTGGAACCAAGTGGGCTTGATTTATGCGGGGATGTTTACCTCCGGCTGGTCACCGCGAGATGAGATGCAACGGTCCTTTCGCCTCGCTTAATTTTTTCTATTTCTTGGCCCTTCTCCTCCTTTGCCAGAGTTTTCAGTTCTCGCTGACTTCTGCCAAGAGATATCCCTGGGCCTTGAGTCAAGATGGCGGCGCGAAACGACTTTGATAGCAATCCCGAGATGGCTGGTGATGAAAAGGTACGTCTCCCGCCTTCTCCAACAAGGTCCCCCAAACTGACGCCCTAAGCAGAACTCCGATTCTCGGCTGGAGAGCACCACGGCAATTGATCCAGCTCTTGAGAAGAAGCTGGTGCGCAAGCAAGATGTTCGCATCATTCCCTTGGCTGCGGGAATTTACTTGCTCTGCTATCTAGATCGTTCCAACATTGGCAACGCCAAGGTTCTCAACCATACGACCGGTCATGATCTTCTCACGGAAACCAACATGACCAGCTATGAATTTACCATTGCACTTATGGTCTTCCTCATTGCGTATGCTCTTTTTGAAGTCCCGTCCAACTACTTCCTCAAGAAGATGAAGCCCAGCAGATGGATTGCGTTCCTCATGTTTGCATGGGGCACTATCACGATCTGCCTTGGTGCAGCTCACAGTTATGCTGTCGTCACGGTTCTGCGATTTCTTCTCGGTGTCTTTGAGGCCGGCTTGTTCCCTGGTCTGGTATACTACTTGACCTTCTGGTACAAGCCTGAAGAGCGTTCTGTTCGCGTTGCGACTATCCTGGCATCTGCTACTCTTGCCGGAGCTTTTGGCGGCGCCATCGCCTATGGTGTTGGGCATATGAATCAGGTCCATGGCCTTTCTGGTTGGCGATGGCTGTTCATCCTCGAGGGTATTCCCTCCGTGATCTCGTCAGCATTCGTCTGGTTCGGACTCCCAGATTTCCCCGAGTCAGCCAGCTGGCTCTCAGCGGAAGAAAAGGACATTGCAGCATATAGACTTTCTGAGCAGGGATCACATGGCAACAGCAAGTCCATGACATGGGAGGATACCAAGTCAACACTGCTAGAATGGCGGCTCTGGTGCCACTATCTGGTATGTATTGCCCTTCTGTGACAGTAAGACCCTCAGCTAACCGCGTCAAGATCTACTTCGGTATTTCGGCCCCATTCTCAAGTCTTTCGCTCTTCACGCCTTCTATTACAGCCGGCCTCGGGGTATGTGACAGGTTTATATGAGACCAACATCAACATCAGCTAACAGCATATAGTTTGCGGATCTTAGAGCCCAGTTGATGACAGTGCCTCCCTACGCAGCTGCCTACGTCGTTACACTGCTTGTTTCATGGTCAGCAGACCGACATAATGCGTAAGTGATTTTTCAATCTCACTAACATCGACATCCTCTAACTTTATATCAGCCGCGCTCTTCACTCTGCTGTATTCTCCTTGATAGGTGCTGTCGGCTTCATTGCATCTGCAACTCTTCCTGCCGATTCTTACAGTGTACGTTCGTCCACAACTCCAGTCCTATGCAAATCTCTAACTTAATAGCCTCGTTATGGTTGCCTGATCGTGGCGGCGTGCGGATCATTCGCTTGTATCCCTCCTCTTCTGGGCTGGCTGTCGTCTAACCTTCATTCCACGGCGGCCATCGGCTTGGCCATTGCGCTCAATATTTCTATGGGAGCGCCTGGTCAAATCGTCGGTGTCTGGATCTACAAGGCAAACGAAGCTAAGAAGGGCTATCCCACTGGACATTGGGTAAATGCTGGTTTACTCTTATTTGTAAGCGCTGGCTGTGTCGCTATGCATGGGTACTATGTATGGAGAAATAGACGGGCTGCTGGTACCGATCAGCCTCGCTTCAAGTACTAATGGAGCAGCAGGATGGGAAACAGGTATCGGCATATGAGTATTTTAAGACGAATGTAGCTGCAAGCTTTACGACTTCTTATCACGCCAGAAATTAATTGCACACCTTGAACCTTGAAAATCTTATTATTCTGTTATTATACGGTAGGTGTATGTAGTATATACTACTAGCATATGTCGAGGAAACTTCCGTAATTATGCTAGTCTGGGTCGAGAGGAATGAAATATTGACGTCGACAAGTCAGGATAGAGGTATTAGACACACCACTGAAGCTTTCATATGGTAAAAGATACCCCCAGAAAGTATTCTAAGTGATAATGCCGCTTTTTCGAACAATAAATTTCCGGACTATCTGCGACATTTGATTACCCTTGGCTCTGCTGGGCGACTATCTTTCCGGACAACGAACCAATGGCCGCCACATATACATACAGCTTACAGCAAGCAATACACACAAAGTATTATGTGCTTTCTTGCTTCATCAGCAACTGCGACACTCTAGCGTGGGTACCTGAAAGGGGCCAATTACGTGGTGCGTAGGTTGACTGACGCGATCGGAGGGAACGATTAGCACATATATTTGGTCACATGGATCAGCATACCCCGAATCATGGGAACAATGGTATATCTTCCATCATAAAAACTATTCAAATGAGATTCGAACATATCTTGTAATTGCTTTTCATTTCCGTTATTTTGTATCACATCATGGCGACACTGAGAAATCCAGGATCGCAAGGCTACGTGCCCCTGGCCGACGCTTCACCAGAGAGTACCGAGGATCATGTAGTTTTTGAGCCAGTCAGAACATGGAAAGGATACATATGGGATACCTGGGAACTACCACAGGATCAGAGGCGTTTACTATTCAAGGTCGATGCCTTTATCCTGACCTTCGCATCCATAGGATATTTCCTCAAGAACATCGACCAGACCAACATCAATAATGCATTTCTAAGCGGCATGCAGGAGGACCTTGAGATGTTTGGTAATCAGCTTGTGACTAGTGAGTGCACACGTGGCACCCCTTCTTGATATCCCTTCTCACATTGAACCCAAGGCACTTCGGTATGGACATTTGGCTATGTCATCGGACAGATACCGTCAAATCTACTATTGACACGAGTCTCGCCACGATGGGTTATTCCATCGCTTGAGGTCGGATGGGGTATAGCAACCATTTGTACCTCATCAGTTCAGTCATACAAGAGTCTTTATGTGTTACGATTCTTTGTAGGCTTCTTCGAGTACGTAACGTCCTCGCTCAAGCCCCCACGCGGTATCTTGCTGTTGCATACCACTAGGCTAATATCAATGTCAGATCGGGCTTCTATCCTGGAATTCATTATATGCTTGGCTCTTGGTATACGCCTAGGGAGATTGGCAAGCGAGCCATGCTGTTCTGGCTGGCCGGTTCAGTTGGAACCATGTTCAGTGGCTTTCTCCAAGGAGCAGCGTATACAAATCTTAATGGCGTTCACGGACGTGCAGGTTGTAAGTACGGTAGCTTAAAAGCCTCA